TGCGCGGCCTGCCTCCCCCGCCGGGCCGCTGAGCTGAGCTGAGCTGCGGGGCGACGGGTCGGCGGTGCCCGGGCCGCCCGCTCCGGGTCAGCGGGTCGCCGTGCGAGGCCGTCGGCAGGCAACCTATCCTACGCCCGCCCGCTGGAAGCGGCCAAAGAGCTTTGACTCGACCTCCGCAAATACCTGCTAAATTTGAAGCCATGCGGCGGCGGTGTTGTAGGTCCGATGTTACTCCTAAAAACAACAGTTTACCTGTAAATTACTCTGTTCGTTCCCTGAGGTATCGACACGCTTAGGTCGCCGCGTACGAGAGATGAAACAGGCTGGAGAAAAAAGTCTGGTGTAGCACCTAGTGGAAAATCACCGTAGACTTCTCCTGTGCACAGGCAAAGCCTGAGTTAGGGAAATCCTCTCAGAAACATAAAGGTCAGCTAATGGGTTTCTGAGTTAGGATTTAAAGTGGTGGAAGAAAGAAACAAATGGACGGTCTATATACCCGAAAAGGCAACATAAAATCAAAAATGTCTAAGCCTGTAAGAGGATATACGCTCAACTCAAGCATTCTTTTTAATGTCCTTTCTCCTCGGAAACAATACTTCATTGACAGAAAAGAAAAATCTAATGAAAGTGATCTCACTTGAGTGGATAGCTCTTGGTGCCTGAAAAGAAGGACCAGGTATCTTTCATCAGTTTACTGAGCATGCTTTTGTCATTTACTGGGGAAATACCGGGTTTTATTCTAAATAGATAAAGTAAGTTTTCTACCAGAGTTAGGATTGGTGTCATCATTTTTTCAAAAAAACAGGATATTCTTGGTTTAGAGTTGATAGATTAAAAAAAAGGTAGAAATAGGGAGGGATGAGAGGTGAAAATCAAAACCACCTACTGATCAACAGAATATAAAGGAACTTAATGTATGAAATTAAGGTTAATCTTTCCTATTTCTTGACCTAAGAAGACTATTCTTAAGTTTGGTAACAATATTATTCACGTGCATTGTTACGCTGAAGTAATTTCTGTAATAAATTGTCAATGAAACCAGTAAAATTTTTGGAGAGCAGCACAGTTCTTTAGAAAACTGATAGAAAAATGTACATCTTAAAAATCTGAATATGTATGTCTAAGGGTGTAGCTTCAATGGGCATGTATTGTTTGGAGTGAATGCTGATGTTTTTTTTTTCCTGAAGTGTGAAGAATATCTATATGATAAGTAATTACTGAAGTTCCAGAGCTCTTTAGTATTCTACATAATTAAATGTTCAGACACAAAATTGCCCCTCCTATGTCGCTCTTACTTTATTGCCATAAAATGAAAATAAATGTTAAATGCGATTGTTCCAGTGAATCACTAGTAAAATAACTGTGAGTGCAAATAAGAAGCCTGAACTTAGAGCTTATTGGTTTGTCACACTGTTATTCAGAGCTGTACCAGCAAAAATAATAAAAGCCTATAATGAAGATACAATTACTGCTTCAGGTAATTGCTGTCTTCAGAATAATCCTTTTATTCTTAAAATCTTCTACCAGCATTCCCTTACTGAACCCTGTAAAAAGATCTGATGAAATGGCTCCATATTTAGGGACATCAAAGGAATAAAGATACATATTTGTTTATTTCAACATCTGTTGAAGTGTTAACTACTATAACGAGGCAGGTGAAAACATTAACATTAATTAAAAAAAATTCGAGAGAATTTAAAATCTGTTGTCTTTCCATTGGAAATATTAGGCTCCCTCCATGGGCCTAAGATAATTTTCAAGATCGGTTGAATTCTCTTAGTGTTTGATGGGATTTTTTCTGTGTGTGTGATAGGTCTTCATGGTAGGCACCACACAAGTCTGTGATGCCATGGAATTCTGCTGAATAATAAATAGGTTGCTGGTCACGATGCTTTAAATTATGGTTCTGACGGCTCACGTGAGCAAATGTTTTTTTTCTTAGTGAATGCAAAGAATAAACAAGAACACAAAAAAAAAAAAGACAGTGAGTTCAAGATAAGTGTTGTGGGCTTTTTTTTTTTCCTTTGAAGTGTGACTCTCTATGCATGCACTAAGCAAAAATGTGTTAATAAATCTTTCTTTTGACCATTAAATGGTTCACTTAGTTGAATGATATAGTATGATGCATTGAGATAGGTGGGCTGTAACAAACCTTTCAGTTGAAACAGTGGAGAGAGCTAGCAATAGACTGCAAAGTTCTCTCCCAAATATGTGGGAAGCATTTGATGAGAATCTTATTGCATGAATATGATCATGCACAGTTAGTGTTAAAACTTGAGTTCTATTCCCAGTTAAGTTTTACTTCATTCTTAACCTCATAGTGAAACAAAGATGCTTCTTGTATCCCATATGTGTAGGTCCATGCTTTTCAGCTTGTGATTTTTCTAAGGTTCCTGTGAGACCATGGAATACTTCTGAAGGGTCTGTGAAAGGTGACAGAAATAGTCTTGTTACCACTGGACACATGATTGCTGTCTAAGAATTCCTGTCTCAGTAACAATTTTTTAGAGTTCTGCAATGTGAGGAGGGCTGAAATTACTGATATAGATCCTTTTCAGAGCCTTTCTCAGTTTTTCTAATATATAAACTTTTCATTCAGGAAGCATCAGAGCTGTAAAGGATTCAGGGAAGCTATATATTCTTGTACGATTTTTATTCTTCTGTGGATGTCTTCTTTTGGTCAGTGGTAGGAACAGGATACTGAGCTAAACGGACCTTTTCTGAACCAGTAGAGCTGTTCATATGAGATATCTAGGTACTTTCCCAATACAGACTATCACATATCATTGGGGGTATGAAATGGAGATACACTCCAGCTTCAGAACAGGGGTATAAAATGGAATGTAAGAGAAAGTACAAAAGTAGATTTTTATTTTTTTGTAATTACTGAAAATGCGACGAAGCGACTTCTGGATGAGGTCAATGCAATGCAGAAGCTTGTGAAAAAGCAGATGTGATAATGAGATATATCAGTAGAGAAAGATAAGCAATCTTTTCAGATAGAGTAGGAAGTAGTGAAATTGAGGAAGGGCAGTGAACGAGGGAGGGGCTATCCTGGGCTTGCTAGGACTTAGGGAGCTGAAGGATGAGTCATGGTTTTAAAATTAATTTTCCAGTTCTGAACTTAAACATAAAATTTTACAAAATGTGTTACCGCTGCTAAATATATTAAGCTACCAAGGTTATGGCAGTACAGTGAGTTATCACGGTTGCTACAGGATGGAAGGAGGTGTGTAAGAATTTTGTTAACAAAAGGTGAAAGAAAGGCCATTCAGCTTTGCCCATATAATAACATGTAAGGAATCTATAACATTAACTAGACTTCTACAAGGAATGCTTTCCATATGGACAGCAATAGGGACCACATCCATAGGGACATGAGTTTCAACATGCTTTGGTCTTTCTGATCTGAGAAGAGAGATGCAGACTGCACCAAGAAACAGAATCTGGTGTGAGCAGAACTCCTGGGTTTGGGTTTGTTCAGGACCGTGGGTCTGGATTTGCATGGTTCCAGGTGTGAAAAGTAGCTGTTAAATACAAATCTGGTAGCATGAGATGAAGTCTCCACTTCATTCATTGGTTCGTATTACTTGGAATAATGCATTCAGAAAGCTTTTTTCCATTAAAAAATTAAGCCTAAAGCTTTACTAATCCATTATACCAGTCTTTCTAAAGCATTTGTGTTAAATCAGCATTAATTCATGCTGAATTTTTTTTAGTTTGTCAGGGCTTTATTTGAAACTCATTTGTCCACTTTTAATGTTTTAACAGACCTTGCAGAATGTGCAAGATGAAACATACATTCAAGTTTCCATTTTTGTTCTGAAAAGGAATTTTACAGTTCAAAGCAGAATTGCTAACATGGCTGAAGTTGAGGAGGTTTGGCCTGAAAAACATCATTTTCATATTTGAAGTCTCTTTGAGCAATACTGCACATAGATTACAAATAGACACTGAAATGAGGAAATACTTCTCCAGCTGCATCTTATGTTTGAGAGAACTGCTTTTTAAATGTCATGCCGTTGGTCCAGGAAGAGAATTTAGACTTCATCTTGAAAAAAATCCCGAATTATTAATTTACTGTAGTATTTCCAGTCTTGTGAGATAAGTTCTTAAATATTTTATTGAACAGCTGTTAACGTGACATTCAAAAAGACTGAAAGTTACACACACGTACTTGAGTATGTATGCATGTTATATATATGAAATATCTTGTGAATTATATATAAATACTTGTTGTATATGTACATAAAATATATTTAAGTATATATATGCAGGTATATACACGCACATGTATAATAAATTATATAAAGTATTTTATTATTCCTATACAAATAATATAATACTTTGATAGTATTATTTGTATGGGAATGTTTGTAGGAATAATACAGTCTATACACATACACACACACATATAAAAAAAACCCCTTAGATAACCAAAGGGAACTGAAATGACTCTTGGTTCAAAGGGATCTTATTGCATGGCAATGGAAGTAAAGACCATGTCAAAGATAACAAACTGAAAGTTTTCTAGGAAGTGTGTCTGAGATGCCTACTAGGCAAGGTTTGTTTCCCCCACACCATCAAAGCCCCAGGTTACTTAATATTCAAAGGAGTGATTGGTCATATAGCGGAAGGAACAAACCTAAAGCTGCCAAAGCCAACAAGCAAAGAGGAAAGAGATGTTGATAACAGTGCTAAAGGCTGCAAACAAATCAAGGAGTGTGCATTACGGAGTTAGGATGGAAGTTTAGTTGCAAGTCTTGATAAAGGAGTGCTACGTTGGACAGATAATAATTGGGCAAAGAAAGCTTAAGATTTCTTGGGCTGTAGAGAGATTGAGGCATTAATAGTAATTGTTTAAGTGACAAAACTGGAGCAAAGTTCTTGGATGGTTCTTATCTGCATGAGTCGGAGTATTTATATAAAAAGAATGTTACTGAGTTCATTTTTTTTATTTTCCTTCTGTAGAACATCATAGCTTTCTGTGCAGCCAACAAAATATATAATGACAAAGTGATTGTATTTAGCATTCTTTATTTCTGATAAGTTTCTGTGTCTGCATCAGAGACCTTGGATGGACAGAGAGAACTCAAACAAGAGGAAAGCTCACTGAGTGTTCAGTGCTACATGTAAGTTACAAGTTTCAGTTTGCTTTTGATATATAATATGCCTGAATGTAGAATGTGTCTTTGTAAATAAATAAAACCAAGATAAAGTTTCTTTCTCCTTTGACAAACAAGTCGTGTGCTCCTGCATTTTAGCCTTCACAGCTTCAGCACACTTTAGCAGTGTTGCATAAGATGCCTTACCAGAATATACAGTCAAAACCACCATCACTTCTGGGTAGGCTTGAAAACTGTAGTTTTTATGTTGTTGGGGTGCCATGGTAGAGGCCAGGAAGTTAAATAATTAATCCAAACCAGCTCTGCTCCACTTGGGATTCTGTTAGTTTATGCCCTAAAAGTCAAGAGGATTTCATTTTAGAAGTCAGCTGTGTTTAATTTGGACTGTTGGATTCTCTTACTGTTAATAAATTTATTTATACTAACTTACTTTAAAAAGATATCTAATATTGCTGCCTACTGTAAGGAATTGGGTTTTACTCATTCTTATTTCTGTTGACAAGTGATTCCCTGGTCTTGAAAATCCCAGCTTCTGAAATGTCGTCGCCCGGAAGCCACTGCCCACACTTGGAATCAGTTGGTGAGATAACAAAAGAGGAATTGATACAGAAATCTCATGTGAGTTGTAGCAGCTTGCTTTCTTCCTATCACAGTTAACTCTGGTCACTTATTTTAGCTACATATCTTGTCATGTATTATTGGTTATAAGATGCATTTAAGTGTTAAGCATGGGTAAAATCTTCTGTACTGGAATAGTAAGGTTTAAATGAAGTACGGGAAGAATTATAGGCTTGATAAAACTGAAAAACTATTTTTCAGTACTTGACACTTAAAGATTAACTTTCCCAGCAGTGTTTTCCAAAGCAAGTGATGTTTTAATGGAAATATTAGTTAAAAGAGTTAGCATAACAGCAAGCTGAACTTCATTTTCAGACACTGCCATTGTAGCAGTTATTTGGAATGTTAACGTAATATAGTATAACTGACTTGACTTCAAGTAGAAACTGTAACAAAGAAATTTATGCTTAAGTTTTTCTTGGAGAACAGGTGACTTTTTGATGGAGCAGTCACAGTTTGAGAAACTGCCCCTGCCTGAAATCTTGGTTTCCAGCTACTATTAATAAATAGAACAAAGAAAGATCTTGTAACCCATTTTAGTAGCTAGGAGGTGATGAAAAGCCAAACTTTTTCTGTCCGTGGTGCTAAATTTCTTTATCTTAAAACTCTAACAGTTTAATTTGCTGCTGATGCTGGGTATAGCATTTCTCTAATGTTGCATCTATTTTTGTAAACCTTTGCGGGTAGTGTTGACTGTCTGCAAATAGGGATAAGCAGTTATTACAAGTTCTATCACTTTCATTTCTTTTTATGTTAAATTTATAGGAAAGACCAAATTTGAGGATTTTATAATAATGTGATATGATATATGTTTATGCTCTATTCAGAAGACCAGTTTTTGGGTTAAGATGAAAACTCAGAGATCTATCTTAATGTTTTACTAGAAAAATATGCTGATCTTAAGATTATGTGAAGCAAAGAAAAATTGGGCTGGTTATCAATACATCCTTTTTTTGTCTTAAAATTATACAGCTGATACTGAGCTTTACAGTATTTTTTTCTCATTTTGTCTTGAAGTTGTTGTTTACTGGTGAAAGTAAATGAAATAATACTTTGTGTGTTTACCTTTAATAGGGCACTTGTCAGGACTGTAAAGTCAGAGGACCCAACCTTTGGGCATGCTTAGAAGTAAGTTGTTCTGTTATTCCATAGTAGGGTCCTTTTCTAGAAATCTGTAGATAAAGTTGGTAGTGGTTTTTTTAATAAACATCTGTAGTGAAGTTCTTTAAATTAGTTTCTTTAAGTTATTTAAAAGCAAAACATCTTGTGCAGTTTTCTATTTTTAAAATTATTTACCCTCTATCAGGTACGTATTTCCTGTAATTTAAGAATACTGTGTTTTAAATGAGATTTTTTGGAAATAGCACATTAAGGTTTCTTCTTCAGTTATGGTATTTTTTTAGCTCTTAAAATTTTTTTTTTAATCTTTTCCCCAGGTCTGTAGATCTGAAAAATAATATATTATTCCTGAATTAAGTTACCTTCTATGAGCCTCTCTTAGCATTTGTAGTAATAACATCTAGCAGTAAATGCTGACTTTTTACAGCATAAAAATACATACTCTGACTTTTGTATTCTTGAGCAGAAAAAGGAAAAAAATTTATTTTGAAACTTGCAGAAGCTTGTATAAACATTCTTCAAACTTTGTACGAATTTTGTACAGTCCCTGGATATAGTTCTTTCTTAAATATGCTTTTGCCTTACTCTTCTTGCTGTCTACAAAAAACGTAATTTTCAGTGTATTAATAAAAAAAAAAGGTTCTGAAAATGTTGCTTCTGATTAATCTATGATACTGAGAGGAAAGTATGTAGCTAATTTAGTTTTTAAAATGTCTCGTGAGTTCTTCGGACATACAGCTGTTTCCAGAGATTGAAATTTCGCTCTATAGGCTTGACTTCATTTCTTGGCACCTTTTGTCTAAGTCCTGTCAGGAAGACACCTAGGCTGAGATGCCAACATTTAGATGTATGTATGAGTATTTTTAAAAATCTACTTCTTTAGTTTCCTTTTAGGTAGATTATGGTAACAGTTAAAAGATCAGATTATTTTGCTTCTTCTATCAATAAGAGATAGAAATGAAGGGGGAAAGAAACAGTGTTTAATGTCTTTTTGTTAGATGGCTTGAAGTTTAATTACATTTAAAAACCCTCTTGGGAGTTGGAAGAGGTGTTCAGGGATGAATCAACCTGGCAGGTGGGGAAATGCTGTGAAGCTTAAAACATGTTTTTTATTTTTCACTTATAGCTCTTAAACTGTTATTGAAAAACTCGATTTCATACCAACATTTCCATAGGAGAGTTTTGTAATTGCAGTAGGACACTTAGTGTCATGTTGCGATATATCTTCTCTTGGATGAATTGGCATCTTGCCTTCACCTTTTTCAGTAGAAAAACATGGTGAGATCCCAGCATGTTAACCATCTGTAACTTAACAAATATCTGTGATTATTTAATACAGAAAATCGACTGTGTGCAGCTGCTATTTGATTGTATAAATTAACATGGTTAGAGAGTTATACAGATAACATGCTCTTATGTGATTGTCTTGACTCATGCAAATGAGGAATTAATGAAAATCGCCTGAAGATTGACAGCTGCAAGATTCCACACTCAACTCAGCCAAATATGCTTTGCAATTAGCACAATTAATATCAACAATTATTTTGCATGTTATAACTAGAATGTAGTAAGTACTCTAACCATATAGTGCTGGAAATTCTTATGTAAAAGTGAAAAAAACTAATTAATTGTGAAGTAATGCTTTTCAATGTAGGCACTGCAGATAGGGACATACAGGCATTTTTGTATAAATGTGTCATGTTCTGAGGCTGTTGCAATTCACTATTTTAGACACTGGGCTAACTTCATGTTTTCTGTAAAAATCTCTACCAAATAATGAATTGTAAAAAATACATGTCGACCTTAATCTGAATAAATATATCCAAATGGCCAAACAATTATATTCCAAACACATTTAATGTCTAACACTGCCCACCTGTGAGAGGAGTTGAGTTAAATCTTGCAGTGTTCTTATTTGCTTTAGGTGATATTTATTTTAACACTTAACTTTGCACGTCTCTTGGTTTGTGTAGGACTCTGAAAGTTTGAAATCAGAGTAAATTTTAAAGGAACTGTCAGTATATTCCTATTCTGTAAACCTGTTTGACACCACTTTTTAATTCTGTATACTTCTTCATATCTTGTTCAACAGAACAGATGTACATATGTTGGCTGTGGTGAATCCCATGTTGATCACAGTACCACCCATTCCCAGGTATGTGTATTTGCTAGTAATACAGTTACTTGAAGCAGTGAAGTAGAGTTAGAGAACTTTTTTTACTCATGTTAATGAAGTCAATAACCTGTGTTAGTATAACTGTTTGGAAGTTTGATTAGCTATGATTGTTTTTCATCTATAGAAGCAGGTCTTACTAATTTAGGAGTATGTGAGTATACAGTCTTTGTGCAGCTGCATAATTATTTGTGTAATCCTTACATTATTGTGCTCCTTAAAAGAACATGGTGAAAATTACTGATGATTTTCAAGATGCATGGACAAAAGATTTCTTGAGTACTTCAGTTTATATGTTGTACTTCACTACTTCAGTCTAACTTTTTAGGATTGCGGCTGCCAGATGGATAAGAGGAGAGAAGTTGGATTAATGAAGATGAGAGCTGAACAGGTGTAAGATAGGAAGTATAAATTATCAGAAACAGGTGCTTTGTTTCTGCATTATGCTCCCTGTTCCAGTGGCTACAGATGAAGAACGTGTAGACTGAGCTGAGCATATCCTTTCCTGCTATGTCCTGATTTTGGATCCAGCTTGGTAGGAGCAGTGGAGTGTGTGCACTATGTTCCCCAGCATGCCAAGTTCTGGCAAGGCTGGACAGCTTGAATGCATCTGTTTGGGTCTTAAACTCACTGTCTGTTCTGTGCACACACATGTACAAGTGGAACGCTTGCCAAAATGAAGCAAATGAGATATATCATTCTCTCTTAACAAATATACTGGGGACAGAGGGATGGCAGTTTTATTAATATGTCATTTCAGAATTGCTGACTTTCTGATTAAATTAAATTCTTGCCACCAGTTTACAGTTTGTCTGTCAGAAAATACATCTAAGGTTCCACACTGAGCAATTTTTGGTCCCTAAAAATACTAAAAAAACCCCTGGCGAATATTAAAATGAACAAGTAGTATATACCAGGGTTTTACAAGAAGTATGCTTTATGACTGCATTTTACCACCACTCCTGATTTTTTTTTTTTTTTAAGCAGGGCTTTGAGAGCAGTGCATATTTATACAAATCAATAGTGCATTAATATAAATCTATATAAATACAATTTTTTGTTGCCAGCTATTTAAGCTGAATCACAGTTCTAAAGCCTTTACAATAGATATATAAATGAGCAGCTTGTAGTGCAATTGGAGAACAGATGGTCCCTGAATTTCTTGCCTACAATTTTATACCTCTTGGCTTTCTACGGTAGTTTATTCCTGCTTTACATGATGTTTTAGCAATGTTACGTACTTGCCAAGTAAGAGAAAAGGAAAGGATAGTTGCTTGCTGTCCATGACATCCTTGTCTTGATTTTCATGTTACTTAATTTCTGGATTTTAATTTTTTTTTTTTTTTTTTCAGTAAAAATCTCAATAAACTCACTACAATGAGAGAAACAAGGTTGATGTGAATCAGTTTATTTCTGCTTACTCTAGTTTCCACCAGCAAGGGTCCCTGTACTGCAAATGATCATGTTCATTGTATCCACTTCAAGAAAATTCATAAACTGTTCCTCTGGAGACTTGTAATTATTTATGCAGCTGAAGCTGCAGAATCAAGCACATTCTCATGATTAAAATTGTCTGAGATATTTATGTAATCTGATGTTTTTTAGTAGGGGGAGGGCTGCTTAATGAAATTGTAGCCCACAGTTTATATTAAAAGCATTGTTCTTGTACAAAGCCTTATTAAATGAGGGGAGGAGGAACCTGGGCATCCTGCAGCAGTTGTATTTGCCTAATTTCTGGCAAATCTGTCATCTATAAACCTGGCTGGTGCTGACATAATAAGGAAGAAATACAGGAAGGATTGGTGGAAATATTTGGAGGATGATAGCAACTGTGTGCACAATCATACAGTAAGCAAAGAGGTTAAAAAAAGAAAGATGAAGATTAGAACAGTAAAAATATTCTCCATCTGTCAAATTTTTATATTGATTCACAGTATGAAGCTGTCAGCAAAAGAACTGAGTCTAGGATGTTTGTTTTGATATGAACACCTCTTACTGTAGCTGAACTGAAAATCTTACCTTACTCTTCTGACTGATTGTTAAATAGCTTGAATTTCCTACAGCAAACCAGTAGAAATAAACACTGCCCTTACTATAGAGGAGTTAGGTGCCATTATGACCAATAGCAGACATTCCTGGAAAATTGGTTTGTTCTGAACTGTAACATTTCTGAGAATAGGCTTTCTTCTTACTTTTGTAATTACACCAAGGCATGTCAGATATGACAGTGGCTTAGATTCTGATTGTACCTTGTTGCTAATTTGAGTGACTTGTACTAAAAATGAGTGTTGGATAGTTTGTGCTAAAACTTCAGTAATTGAATTGCTATTTTTTAATATTCTAACATACATATTTGTTTCATTGTTGAAAGATCTAAAATTTTAATACTTCTGTTCTAGCTTGCATGTAGCAATATTTAATTATTCCAAATTTCTGAATCACAGTTTTGGTTTTTGTTCTGTTTTAGGAGACAAAACACTGTCTAACTGTCAACCTTACTACACTCCGTGTTTGGTGTTATGCCTGTAGTAAGGAAGTATTCCTGGATAGAAAATTAGGATCTCATTCTCCACTACCAAATCCAAGACTGTCTCACCAAGCACAAGAAAATAGTGTGCAGGTATTTTTTTAACCCAGTGAAACAAAGGCAGCTGTAGCTTTGCAGTAAACATTGTGTCTTCTCTCAAGTGAGAGGCTGACTTTTCCTCCTTTCTTGTGGCTGAACTTTCTATTAATTTCTCTCTATTTTTATAAAATTTCTTGAAAAAGACAGGACTCAGCTTCTGTGTTCTGTCTCTGTGTACTGCATGCTTCCTAAGAATGCTTTTTTCATCTTATTGTCTAATTGTTTGTAATCTACAATAAGCCGTAAGATACGGACAAAGCACAGGTTTAAATTTAAGGTTACAAGATTAGAATAGTTCACCTGTGCTTCCCCATTCTGTCAGCTCTTGAAAATGTTATTTTCAAAACTCATTACAGTAATTGCTGGCTAACTTTCAGGGAGCAGCAGAATGCCTTAGCATGTGTTTATGGATACTTGCCTGAGATACTGTGCTTGTATAAATGAATTTGTACTTTTAGAGAAATATATGCTAATTGTTAACCTCATTTAGCTAGTAATACAGGACACTTAAAGGGATTCCTATAACTTAGTCTCTGAGGTTTAAACATGTCTAGTTTTCAGTTTTGATAAATGACTGAAAAGATCTTGATTTTTGTGTATGTATATGTGTGGGTGAAAATTTTTCCAGCAGAGTGGTATACACACAAACACTCCTAAACAGGTAAAAATTTAACTACTATGCAAGAATTCACTAAGAAGGCAGTAGTAACCTGTGTATATTGTATGTATATGTATAAGTTTAATTTTGGGGTAGAAATATATTGTGTTAGATTAATGTGGAAAAATACATATCAAACTAGAAATCAGGGGAATGCTATTAGTGTTTGCCAAGGAGTATAACTATGCCAAGGAGAAAAATATGGCCAGTATCTGGGAAATTCATATTAGTCAAGTAAAACCAGGCTTAAGATTGTAGTGGTTTATATGATTATAGCATCAAAAACAAGCCTTTATAAAAGTGCTTAGCTGTTCTAACTCTACACTTGTTAACAATTGACGTAGTAGCTGCAGAGTAAGACAATGAATAAAGCATTAGCTAATATTGGAGACAAGTTAGAGGAAAAAAATAAGCAAAGTAGACGTTATACAGAGAATTTTGAAATATGCTATTTTCTTGTCTTGTTCTTCTGCAATTTCAACGAGGTTTATTTAGATTTGTTTTGTTATCTTCTGGTTACATTAGTCTTTGCTGGCATCAGTACTGTTCACTCTGGTAATATCTTTTCTAGATAAGTGTTGTCTTGGAGAACATTATGCTGCAATTTCTGAAGTATAATTGTTTGGTATAATGCCTGTATCTGAAAAAAAGTTGTTATTTCTTTATCCCATATTTAATGTACTTACATAAAAATGACAGGTAACTTGGTTAGAGCTAACACAAGTATAAGTACAGTATTTCTAAAATTGTTTTGCTTGAGGCGTAGAGCTGTGGAAGAGATACCATGATGCACAGGTTGGACAGAAAGATGGGCAGTTTTTCCATGTATGTAGAGAGGAAATATCCTTTAATATTTTCACTTCAAAGTTTAGCATTTAATAGGAACGTAATCTGATCATTTTCTCATAAAATGCCAGCAGCTCAATTGGAATAGTACCATTGGAATATTTTTTTTTTATTTAAATTTTTGTCGTCCAGAAATTCTGGTGACTTGATATAAAGCTGGGTGAAGACTTCTGAACTTCTGTTATACTTGACCTGTTTTAATCTTCCAAGAAAATGGGTATAATATACAGAAAAATCAGTAGAACTTACAAAGTCTGTCAAACATTTTGTTTAGAATTTTTATTTATGTGCTCTTGCACTCACAAAAAGAGCTTGTCATGCAATAAATGTCTGCCTGCCTAATATTTTGTTTTTCTATTTGTATATTTTGCTTCCAACAGTTTAATTTGTTAAATGTAGTGAGCCATCTGGTGGCATATCAAAAATATATGCACTAAATTTTATGTGATGGCTACTGTGTTAGCTTTTCAGTGCTGGCTTACTGGTTATCCAAGGGAAAGAAATACTATAACTTGCTTTGTTTTGATTCTTCAGCTGTTGCCATAAAATCATGCAATGTTGTCACTGCTAATCTGAAGACAAAAATGTGAGGTTTTTCTTAGTAAACTTTATCAGGGTAGCTGTGGAATCCTGTTCTCACTTTGTGCAGTGAGATTTCAAAATGCATTCACATAATTTTCAGTTTCTAGATTTGTTGGTGAAATTATATGTAAGCTTAATTAAGAGGAAAATTGATAAATACAAGTAAATATACTTTTTTATTATTCTCCTTACAAGGATTTTAAAATACCTAGTAATCCCACACTGAAGATTCCGCTGGCAGCTGTATTTGATGACTTAGATATAGAAGTGGAAGAAGATGAGTTAAAGACTAGAGGTAATAAAAGCAAAATCTAGTGCTTTATTGCCCTTTATGACATGTGTATGTCTCCAAGTCTGTACTCCAGCTATGTACTAGTTCTCTTCTAAGTGGAACTGTTTCCTATTCTGCACCAAGACCTTTATTTTTAGTTTCACCTTTATTGCAGCAATCTTTACTTACCTTCAGAGCAGAGACTGCAGTGATAAATGTAGTGCACCCGTGCAAGCAGCAACAAAAATAAGAAAGCATGTTGGAGTAATGTTTAAAGTAACTAGTGTTCTAGCCACTCTGGTAAAAGTAGTTTTTTCTAAAATCTGTTCTAATGTTTTCTCCTGTCCTAAAAGGTTCCTGATTTGAATGCTTATCCCGCATTTTGGGTAACTTTTCTGAGCCTGTAGTATCCCGGTATGGGTTTTTGGTTTTTTGTTTTTTCCTTTTCAGTAATGGATTTTGTGCACTGCCAAACTTCCTGGTATAAAGGGTTACCTCACCCTAATATTAAGCTATTGTAAAGATGAAAATGAGAGTGGATGAAACTCCAAACAGTGAAGCCTCCATTTCTCATTTCATAAGAGAATATAATAATTATTATTTTTTACAAGTCTTAAATTGGTATTGATCATTTAGAAAAGTATATTTGTATTTGTTAGTAAAGAAAGTATTTCTAACTACCATTTTCTCAGAAAAATCTGACCCGCAGATTGTTGGTTTTGAGATGCCAATGCATATGTCGCAGCTGTTTGTTTTCCATTAGTGATTATAAAAGAGTTATTCTAATTTATGGACCTCATTTCTCCTTTACTCATCTACTACCAGCTTTCTTTCTCCTAAGTCTGCTGGCATTGGCCAAAAATCCCTACTTTGCCCCTTCTGTTGTCTGGCATGGTCTTTCTGGATATGTCACCAGCCCACTAATTTGCCATCTGCCCAGTTAGTTTGTCCTACCAATGTGTGTATTTGTGTATCTTCTTGTCCTACTAATATTTTTGGGAATGTAACTTGTATAGAAGTAATAGACAAGTAGAATTGCATTAAAGTTCCCAGTGATGTTGATGTGACTGTGTTAATACATTTCTTAAATTTAAAGGAAAAACTTCTTTAGCTCCATTTTAACTTTATTCTTAAAATTTCTTTTCAAATGCTTTTGATGAAGCAAATATTAGAATATATCTTTGCAAGAAAAGAAGTCTATTCAAAAACTTTACTTGCAACACTGCAGGCTGGAAAACCAGTGAGAGTATCTTCCTGATAGATCTTCTGCTGTTAAAAAAAAAAAAAATTAAAAAAAAAAAATTAAAAAATCCTATGACTGTTCTTATTTTCCAATTTCAGTAAGAATGACTGTCCTTTTTGTAGCAGAAATTGGAAGGGCAGAATGCAGGTTTGGATGTGGGAAGCAGGACTATATTTCCATTCAGACAGATAGAAAAACCTTTTAAAACTTGAAAATGAAGTTCTGTGTATTAAAAAATTCAACTGAAATAACCAAACTGTTTTTTAGCTGTAAAAGCATTTTCTTAGTAAGTTTTATTTTTCTGCCACAGACTGAAATAATTGGGGTAATTCCTATACTTCAAGGATTGCATAGAGCCAGTGGTGTTGATTGCTGAATATTTAAAGTTTTCCAGTCTTACTGTTTCTTTTCTTATAAATGTTACTGTTTTCTCCTACAAAAGCAATTTTGTTTTGTAATTACTTGCTTCATTAATTTAACACTTCAGTAGCTATGAATAGCAGGTGTTTCAGATGAATTTTTTTAAATTGAGCTCATGTGGTAATTATGACTTTTTTGAACAACATCTCAAATATTGGAAGAGCATTTTTCATGACTGCATAATCACTGAAAGAATATATGTTAATTGTAACTTTACTATGTAGTAGAAAAACTATATGGACATTAGTAAAGAAAGTAAACAATCTGGGCTTGAAAATAAATTCTGTGGGGAAGCCTAAACTGAGCAGTCTGTGTATAAAAATAAGGGTGTATAATTGGCATAGAAAAAAGACTGATCATAGGTAATTATAATTCTGATTCTGAGATAATCACATGCTGAGTAGGTTTTGAATGTTTAGCGTAATCTGACTGCTAGCATGAACTTGAGACAGAAGAATGAAATCTTCCTTGAGAAGCTTTTGGTAATATGATTAATGGTTACAAACACAGCATAGCAGCCATTTAACTGAACAGGTAAATCATTAAGTTAAAGTAAAAAAATAATTGATAAAAGTATTTTAAGTTACAATCTGCAGATGTCATAAAACATCAAAAGTTAGTAAGATGCAATACAATCTACTTGTCTGAAGTGTTCTAGTCAGCCAAAATCAAAACATTTAATTACTACTTCTAGTTAGATTAGTATTCCTTTAGGAGTCCTTTGTTTCTTTTAGTTACAACTCTGCATTATAATTGGCATCAGAACTGTTACATGAATATTTAAATTAATACATATTTTTTAGGAAGTATTTTCCTTAATGTGTCTTGTTTTGGATTAACAGACTAGCTGAATATTCATTCTGTTTTTCAGGTCTAACAGGATTAAAAAATATTGGAAACACTTGTTATATGAATGCAGCTTTACAAGCTCTTTCTAACTGGTAAGGAAAATGATTGTAAATGTAATTTTATATTTGCTTATACATGCATTTTCTGAAGAGGGACTTAAGGATTTTGAAGTGCTGCACTACCATGGAAGAAGACGTGTACTTGCTAAATCTCAGTCTTATGTATAACAAACAATTGTGTCACTGATAGGGGAAAAAAAGTGTTATGGTATATGGGCTACTCAGCTTTTTCCCTGTTTCGTTCTAATTCCTCACTGTCCTAAATAAAAATATATGCAGCTCTAGAAATTAGAGGAAAATCTGATAAAAGCTATTAAATTTGTGGGTTGGTTTTTTTCTGCTACAGAAGAAATCAAAGAAAATGCATAAGAATAAACCCTAATTAAAGAAGAGACACGCTAAGATCAAAAGGTCCAAATTCAGTCCTTACAAACAATGCATCTGGAACATTCTATGCTAAATCATCCTAGGAATGGCTAGAATACAAAATCTTGTCATCCTGTGGGGATACCAGACAAGTTCACGAGGGAGAAAGCTACAAAAGCTGAAGAGAGAAAAAAACTATCCAAGTCTAAAGTTTCTTGCACTACAGATGGTTTAGGAGGGGACAGTACTTGAGCATATATCATATATGCTTACTGTATGCATCTGCTTTTGGCTGCAATCCAAGACAGGATACAGGGCTAAGTAGACCTCACTAAGATCCTCTCCTGAGGGAGAGGAGAACTGAGGCGAATTTCTCTAGAAGGTAAAGAAGTGGACAAGGCATCTAATCATGAGGAAATTATTCTGTTGAGAAATGCCAAATTTTGAAAGTATGCTGGGATATCTCCTTTCTTGGATAAAACTAGGTCCAATCTGTATGAGGGACTGTGACTTCAGAAGGGGGGTTGATGGGGGAGAAGTGAGAGAGTATGTGAGTTGGCAACACTGCATGAAGCAAACAGATAGTAATCATTTAAGTATAAATTATTTACCTACAAACATCATGTGGCACTATTGGATTCTAGAGAAAAGAAGATTTAAGATGCTGTTTATGGACTAAGCTTATGGTGATGGTTGCTGTAGTGGTACATGTGTACTTCTGTGATGGCTAGGAGGAATTGTCTTGAATTTGAATCCCATTAGACAATTCTGGTGCTTTAACAAATGTCAGAGTACATTTGAGGAGCAGTGTTGCTGTACTGCTGAAGTTGTCCTACTAGGAAATGTTTGGTTGCAGCATTTAAGGATCTAGGAGATTTGGTTGTTCAATTACATAATAGTATTAGTCTTTTTTTTTTTTTTTTAGTGTTGTATGAAATGTGGATTTCCTCTTATATTTTAACAACCTGAAACAAATCCTATTTTCTTCTTTTTAATCAGCCCACCTTTGACGCACTTTTTTCTTGACTGTGGAGGCTTAGCGCGAACAGATAAGAAACCAGCAATTTGTAAAAGTTACCTCAAGCTGATGACAGAACTTTGGCACAAAAGCAGGTATTGCATCATTTTGGTGATGAATGATTATAAATAAACTCCAGAGTCATGAAGGATGCATTAATCTGTCCTAGGTTTCTAATTTTTTATTTTGTCTGTATGACAGAACTACTCTTGTAAATTAAGGAAGGAAAGACTAACTTGCAGGATTTAAACACTTCTTATAAAACACTCCTTCTGACCTGATCTTTTCCATGCTTACCAAAGATGGGACAAATAAGTGATGTAAATTGTAGTAAAGGAAGATCTGACAAGAAATACATAATAAACACTATACAAAGTAACATTAAGCTTTTAAAAATAAGTTTATATCTGCCAGAAATACATCTAAAATGTTTAACTACTTTATCCCCTGTATGTCCTTCATTCTGTATCAATTTTTTAGCAATTTCTTTTATTTCATTATGTGGAATTTCTGTTATCTCTGTCTAAGAAAGTACTTCAGAATATAAGTACGAAGGTAAAGAAATGGTAATTGTGCATGGTACCAAGAGTATGTCTGATTTGTCATCTGATTCTCTGACAAGCAATGTGGCATAAAAGGCCTGATACAGTCTCTATTTCTGTTAGATGACAGATTTCAAAAAGATTGTATAGTTAATAATTCAATACCAATATTACGTTTGGTTAAGATTAATATTATTGGTGTTAGATGTGTTATAGTTCAGTTGCAGGTAAAATTATGATCCCAGTAAAGATAGAAAAGTCCACTTAAATGCTTGCTTTTTTATATATATTTATATATTAACCTTTTTTTTCTTTAGGCCTGGTTCTGTTGTTCCTACTGGTTTATTTCAAGGAATTAAAACTGTTAATCCAACGTTTCGAGGCTACTCTCAACAGGTAAAACCTTCTGATATCTTTTAAATCTGCCTAAACCATAAAGTTATGTCTTATTTTTAAATCTAATGCTTAAGATACCATGCTTCCTATATTTGCTTAAAGCAAATGCAACATAAACTTTAGTTTATATGTTTCAAATGTAGATCATCTGCAATGGAACCATCAACAGTTAAGTCGGGTATTATGTTTGTTTATACCAAATTCTCAGAAGTTGAAGGCCTTTCCAGAATAACTACTTTTCCCTTTTTTCAGGAAAAATAAAATAACATATATCTAAACCTTTTCCTTTTGTGAAATAATGCTGCTAATATTTGAGCAGTCCCAGAAAACAAAGTAAAGGTGTTCAGAAATAAAAAAGAATATAATAAACTTCTTAATATTCATCTAGCAGTTAAGTTTTTTTAAAAAATAAATACATAGTATCCAATTTTCATTTAGAGTCTTTGAAAAAAACCAAAACAAAACCACTGATGTGTGTTTGGTAAGCAGTATTGTGGGAACTGACAGTTGGTAACTTGTTAAATAGGCGTGGATTATTATATAGTAAAGGCATTCTTCAGTTGATCCTTCATACAGTATCTTGCTGAATTTATACAGTTTGCAGTACTTTATTAAAAGCTTTTGGGCTAGAGGAAAAATTTAAACCCTGTAATTAGAAAAGTTTACTAATATCTTCCAGGAATCTGCTGTTATTCAAAGGAATCTTGCTGTTTGAGTTAGCATGTTTTGTATTTGTGGAGTTGGAGGATTAGAACACGTTTTGATGTTCAAATGCTGCATGTAGCTATAAAGAAAATGTTTAAATAGTAATCTCAGTGGTTTTTTAATTTAGTCATGAATTTCTTAAGGGCCACATGAATTTCTGGAAAAGTAGAAAATCAATCTTGATAACTAAAAAGAAACTGTATGGAAACTTGGTTCTTGCAGCTTTTAACACTGATGGGAATGTCTTTTTCCATGCAGAGCAACACTTAATGAGAACCTTTTTAGGTTCTGCCTGGATCATGCTTCAGTTGTATGTTTAGTAGGTTTCATGGCAACAGTTAAAACAAAGCAGGTCTTTCATGACCAACACTCTCCTATTGCCCAGCCTTGCCAAGTTGGGCAGCCAATTGGGCAGCCATGTCCAATCTTCAGGGAGAAAAAAGAATTCTTTTGCTCTATGACGAATGTTTATCAGTTAATTTGAGTTTGTTGTGGGTTTTTTTGTTTGTTTTTAAAGGATTACCAGCAAATAGGCATATTAGATTTTTTTCATTACCCAAAACTCAAATCTGATAGTTGTAGTTTTTAAGAAAAAGGATGTTTTCTAGTCAGCACTTGTGAGCTTAATAAGTAATTGCTATGATGAATGGGAATGTTGAGCAGCAAAAATTGTTATTATGAACAAGCAAAATACAAAAAGGAAACTGGAAGAAAATAGAAGCAGTAGTAGTTGCCAAGAAGAGGCTATTGTTTTCTTCTGTGCTTGCTTTGTTAGATATTCTCTATTGCCAGGAACCAACCTGCTGCCTGGATTGTTGAAATTTGGTGGCATTTAAGATATTTCCAAATATGGATTAGACTTGTAGTAATACTTGACAGCTCTTTGTGGAAACACTGATAGTTGAGGAATCCTGTCCAGGCTTGAGAAGAAGAATTAAAATCTTGTTGACAGTATGATGCAATTGGAACTTCCATACCCAGTGAAAGCAAGGCTCTGGTTGCTTTGCTGAAGATGCTGCGTAACGTTAAAAGTCTGTCCCTGAAGCATTCCATTACCAGCAAAGCTGGATTCTGACCACAGTGTTGGTAGTTGCTTGCGTTATGTTTATCATTCGTGTAAGCTATGGCAATATTTTTGTTAAAGTTGTTGAAATAAGCTTTTTGGGAATTTAAGTGTTTTGGAAGAATCTTGTATGATAACATTACCTGTGACAGGCAAGAAATGGATGCAGGAAACAAATATGCAATCTGGAAATGAAATTTCTTTTGAACATTAGATCTGGGACAGAAGAATTTACCTTATTCTTCTTTAACAGCCAGCTATAGCTTTTGCTTTTGTTATCTGTATCTTTTCCTGATATAACTTTAATATCTTCCAAATATAATGGAATAATATTGTAAAATTCGTTTAAAATCCTAGGATGCACAAGAATTTTTGCGTTGTCTAATGGATTTGCTTCATGAAGAACTTAAAGAACCAGTTGTAGAACTGGAAGATGCCCATCCGATGAGTGTTGAAGAGAGTATGGAAGAAGACAAGAGCCAGTCAGATGTAGGCTTTCAGACCTGTGAATCCTGTGGTACTTGTGATAAAACAGAAAATGATGCTATTTTTAAACCTGTCTTAGAGGATCCTGCAGAGACAACCATGTTAATTCAGGATGATGATAACAACTCAATCACATCCAAAGACTGGCAGAAAGAAAAAATACCAAGCAACAAGCTTAAACAAACAAATTCTATGGAAGACTTGGAAAAAGACGCAAACACTGCTTCAGAGACCACTGAATGTTTAAATAATCAAGGAACTGTCAAAGTACAGATACACAGCAGATTCTCAGGTAATACATTATTAACGTGTTATTGAAATAGTTGAATTCTTAGCTAGAATATCTGTGTGAGTGGAAATGAGTTGTAGAATACAGTAGAGGCATAGGTCAAATAGGGTAGGTGGATTTACTTGTAAACAATGCACTTTCTTAATTTATTTTTTTAGTTTAGGTTTTCTGAATTCAATTTGACTTCCCTTGAAAAGCTAAAGATTTGTACTGGGTAAGGTTTCAGATAACCCAGAAGAGTGGGGTTTTTTGGTTTTGTTCTTAACTTAAAAGGTATGTTAATTGAAATGGTGAAATGGTGCTTCATTCCTAAATGTCCAGTGACCTGGCAGTGTGGTTAAATAAATTACATGACCATTGTGTCTGTTCATAGAATTTATGAAATAATGCAAATATTAATTGCAGAGTACATCAATGATGTCCACATGAATGATATATCTGCAGCTCAAACTTCATCATCAAATGAAGGGATGAACTCACGTTTATCAAACAGTCCTCCAAAATCATTCCCATTGTGCTCTTCACTGGCACCAGTCCACAAAAAAGGTATAGGCCCTTTATTTTCTCCCTCCTGGTACTGAATTGCTCTGTATTACAGTTTTCAGTTTTGTTGTTTCTTGTGTTTTGCATAGCAATACAGTATTGTTCTCAAGGGTTTTTTTTATCCCCTATCCCTTGTGAGGAAAGGGAGCATTATGTAAGCTGGACATATGATAAGACTCCCTTTACTCTGTAAAATTTTGATTCTTTTGAAGCATGAATAGTATTTGCCTCTGCTTTGGGAGGATGGAATAATATTTTTAGACAACTTTTTCAATTGTACGGGTTTGGAGAGAGGGGAAACATGTGAGAAGTTAGTACCCCTGGAAAGTTAATGGTTTTCAGAGAACAAGTACATTGGTTCTTCAGCAGAAGTTCAGTAAGTCAACATTTCAGTCTATTAAGGTTTAAGGAGCCATGTGTATCTATACTGTAGATAGACTTGTAAATGCTAGCTGCTTTCTGGTTGTTACTGTTTCTGCTGTGTAAAGTATTTCTTTTGGCACTTTCCCTAGTATAATGCATTTATCAGCATCAGAATTTTTAGACTTTTACTGCCTTTAGATACAAGACAGTGCAGCTTTAGGGCACAAGGAACAATATATAATTTTTTTTTCCCCTTATTTGTCTAACCGTAGACTGTTTTAATAAAAGCTTGTCTTTTGGAACATGCTTTTAAGGCTCGCATTAAACCAAATCAAAACAAAAAGCTCCCACAACTTTAATATTGTGATCCTGTTTCATTCAACAGGCTGTCCAGGGTAAGTTCTGAAAATGCTCATGTTATCCTTTTAATGCTTTAGCACTGATGTTGAATGATGATTTAATAGATTTAAATCATTGACCTCCTTGGTTCATTTGTTCAGCATTTTTGACACTGCATCTGTACTACTGCCTCCAGTTTTGGCTTCACCATTACAGGAGGGTTTTAGACAAACTGAAGTGAGTCTATCAGAAGAGGTACTAGGTGGCTGGAGTTGGTCGTGTACAAGGAGAGGTTGAGAGACCTGGGTTTGTTTAGCCTGGAGAGGGAAAGACTAAAGGGGAACTGCTGTTGTCATCAGCATTGTGGGTGGTTATAGAAAAGGCAGAGCCAGACTTTTCTTGAAGCCATGCAGCAAATAGAAATGGAAGCAAGTTGCAGAAGGGAAAATTTCTATTAGATGTAAGGAAAAAAATCTTTCAATGAGTAGGTGAATATGGAACAGAAGCCAGTGCCCAGAGGTACCCCGAGGTTCTTGGAGATGGATATTCCAAAGTTCAGCTAGAGCTGCTTTGAACACAGACTGTACCAGATGATATCCAAAGGTCTGTTCCAATCTAGACTACTGATTTTTGTCACTTCCTAAAAATTTAACTCTTGGTCATCTTTATTGAGTATTGAGGGACCAGATATGTATACAGAACTGACTAGGAGAGTAGTGTGGCAGCCATTTGCAAGCTCACAAGTTGTTTTTTTAATTCCCCATAATGCTAGGGGAATTCCCTAGTGTTCTAGGACTTGTGTCTGAGGGCTAATACCTAATTACAACACATGTATTCCCTTCTTCTTTTCCATTTCTCCCTTGCTGAAAGCACATGGTGTCTGTGGGGTGTCACAATTCTAAGATGCCCCTTCTTGTCAGCGTCTGCCATTTCTTCCTACTGTTTGTTAGTGTAGATAAATATAGCACATCCTCCACATCACTGATAAATAAAGACTTTAGAACCATCTTAAAGCAGTTTAGTGACAAAATGAGTGATTGAAAGGAACCTTAGAGAATTCTGGGCAAAAAGCTCTATGAGACAGTTTGTGTCTGTGATAAAATATATCTGATATATTGTGGAAAAAGAGGGTTTTTCAGATTACTTCTAGTGGCTGTTCTTTCTGCTGGAGACAGTTTTGAATTCAGACTTTTTTATTATTTTAGAAATCTTTCTAGGTATGGGATGATACATAGACAATACATAATACTGCTGGACAGTAAAGAGACAAGAGTACTTGCTTATGGGCAAACACTTTATGTACAAAGGAGCCTTGGGAGCTTGTGTTCTATATGAAAAATTTATTGGAGTAATTCAGTTTCCTTCTCACTGTAATTATTTTTATGTTTTGCTGCCTATCTTGTTACTGGCTGTCAGCATTTTGGCAAAGTTTGCCTTTGACTCCTATAAGACTTCCGAGTGGTCTCTTGGGTAATATACTGTTTCCAGAAGAGGTTTTGTGGTCTTTGTTTTAGCCTACCATTCCAGTAATCTGTAGAGCCCAAGAGACTGCTCTGGTGTGTTTACCTAGTTAGTAGTGGATTTGGGTGGGGAGTGCATGTTATTGGCTTGGAGTTTTACTTTATTTTTTTTCAATAAGCTGCTGTTAGGCTGGACTCTAATAGTCCATTTAGTCTACTTCAACCCACTGTCATCAGTGTTGTGATACAGTAAGCTTGTGTAAGAGCTCTTTAGCCCAACATGGTTAAAACTTCCTGGAAAGATGTGATCAAACTAAATGTCAGATTAAATGTGCCTTTTTAAGTTTACACCTTGGGCGATCCCTGCCAAGATTAATCTTGTTAGCAGCAGGCTGTAGATTTCAAGACTGGCAGTCTGAGTTTTACTTAAACATGAGGCAAAATTTTCTGCTGTTTTTCCCCCATAAACTACTTGGGGAACCTACATGAATTGCCTGGTACTAGCAGTAATCTGGTTCTGTAGTTTCTAAGAAATACTTCGTAAATAGAAAACAGGGCTTGACTCAATCTAATCTTAAATATGTGTGATCTCTAATTATATTATGCAAAGTTGAAGGAAATCGGAATCCACTGTATCTTGATTTACTTTCAGCATTTTATTTTTGTCATTTTACAGTTTCAACTGTATCATCACCAAAAAGGAAGAAGCGCAAGAAGTACAGGAGTGTTATTTCTGATATATTTGATGGGACTATAATAAGCTCAGTACAGTGTTTGACTTGTGATCGGGTGAGTAAGGAGGGGAAGTTCTAGCTTTTAATATGTTTTTTTTCCCCAATACAAATACTTGTGGCTTTATGAATACAGTCATTCTCTGGTAACTTTATTCTTTTGTGGGAGATTTCCTCAGAAGGTCAGATTGTTTTGTACTTTTTTACTCAAATAGTAATAGCAGCTACTACTAGCACTTGGTATTTAGACTAGCTTGCATTCATTGAGCTGGATATTTACTCAGAGCTGAAAATAACATTTTGAGAATTGGTTACAGCAAGGACGGAGAAAAAGGCGTGCTCTTCAATGTCACTTAGGTACGATTAGTTTTTAGTAATGTTCTGAATATCCTAATGCATACCTGCTACTGTCCTAAGTTCTCAGGTATGTAATGTTACAAAGAAAAGTAAAAGACGGTAGTCTAATCATACTGCTATAACAGTCTTATTAGGTAGACTGAGGCTGAGAAAATTCATGTCTTTCAAAAAATCCAAGTAAAGACACTTACTTTTAAAGGTGATATGAATCATTAACTGCTTTCTGAAGTTACCCTCTTAGAATTACTTAGAACATGTGATCTTTTAAAAACGTCAATTATCTAAATGTATCTAGTGGACCACTTCAGTTTCAAAGCAATAGTATGAAATATTGGATATCCAAATCTTTGCATTGGGGACAAGTTTCTCAACGTAAGGTTTAAACCTAACCCTGATGCAGTTGCATGCCCTTACTGCTTGCATTGTTTTACATCTAAGAATACCGAGACCTCAGGGTAATCTCGTGAGCAAGTTCAAAAAACAAATAAGAATTTTTAAAGCTTGCTTGATGTTATACTCTGTGACTGTGTGATCGCTAAATCCAGCATGAGAGAAAGGAAATGCACAGCTGGGTCTTTTTTGCAGCAAGTCCAGTTACATCAGGTCAAGATAATGTCAAAGTAAAATACTGTCAAAACAATGGGCTGAAGCTTTCTGAGACTAACTTGTATAACAGGAGCCTGAGGCAAAAATGGTAGTGCGTTGTATGACTAGTAGGAAGACAAATAATTAATAACAACTTAAAAAAAAAATTCAGTGATAACAATGTGCAAGATTGCTCTAAAATGTTTTTTTTTCTTCCTCTTTTTTAGAAAATGAATTCTTACATCTCCATATTTATGATTAATTGGCTACCTAGTGGAATTTTCAACTATACAGTGACTTAGTAGTTACAAGTGAACTTTACAGAATTCAATTTAATTGCTGTTTCCCTTCAAGCTTAACTCTATTTTGTTTCATTTGTTTTCTTCTTTAGCTGTCTGTAACCCTGGAGACCTTTCAGGATCTGTCCTTACCTATTCCAGGTAAGGAAGATCTTGCTAAACTCCATTCTGCGAGTCATCAGACGTCTCTAGTCAAGGCAGGGTCATGTGGAGAGGCGTATGCTCCCCAGGGATGGATAGCTTTTTTTATGGAATATTTCAAAAGGTAAATAATATTTACCTTGTCTTATTTATTTATCTATTTTGAAATTCCAGTTTCTGCTCTTCTGGCAGAACATTTGTTGGTTTTCTTTCTTTTCTGTCAATGATGTTTCAGGTTTGTTGTCTCATGTGTTCCTAGCTGGTTTTGGGGTCCAGTTGTAACCTTACAAGATTGTCTTGCTGCCTTTTTCGCCAGAGATGAGCTCAAGGGTAAGAGGTTAATTACACAAACGTGTTTCTTCTGGGGTCTTTTCCTCCTGTCACAATAAGATGATTAATATCTTCTTAGATTCACACAGTTAAGCAAAGGCCACCTGTTAGACTGTACTACAGTCATTCCTTGCTCTTACGGGATCATTCATTTCAAAAAGGTAAGCGTCTCACTCAACTGAATATTTGAGGCAAGAAATGCCCATAAAAGCTGCTTTAGAAATGTCAGGTAAATCTGAATTTGGTTTAATGAAATTTATCCACTGAAGGTTCATAAAAATTTCAGAAACCACTATATTAATACTCATTCTCATAACCTCAATTTGGATTTAATAAATTATTTCCCTTTTAAATTATATAGCATTATCTCTTCAGATTATGCTGTACTTTTTCATAGTTGAAAATGTAAAACCTAAGAACCTTTCTATTTAGTTGCTATATCAACACTTTTATGGCTGTTAGATATTGAATGCAACCTAAAGATAAATTCCCTTGAAATTTGTATATCAAATATATGTGCTTGTAGGATAACTATTTGGATTTAGGTAATGATGGTTGTTTTTCTTCTCCCTGATATTTGCAGGTGATAACATGTACAGCTGTGGAAGGTGTAAGAAGTAAGCTGGCTTTTACCTTTGTTTGTTTTAACTTGTCTTGAGTGCTTTAATGCTTCTGTTAGTCAAGAGGAGGCATTTATTTCTGTTGGATATGTCATGGTACTATTAATCTTTTGATACTACCTTGTGTTCTGGCTGTCAGAAATTCAGTATTATAAAGGTCCAGGAGTCAGGAAGCACTGACTCACTGTACCATATTGCAAACCAAATGCGCTTAATTCTTTTTCATGTTCCCTACAATTTTAGATCTTTCTAAATTGTTTTTAATTGATAAAATAAAAGCTTTTAGCCCTCTATATTACTAGCAGGTTTTCATTGATATGCTGTAGGTCACCTCAGTGTGTTATAAATAAATACTCTATGGCTTTAAATACTAAAGAACCAAGAAACAGAAGTGGTCTGAAGACTGATTAAAGTCCTTTATGGAAAAGGAGTGTTATTCCTTGCTATATAACTGGTGATCTGCTGTGGGTAATTTCTTAAGAAACCAACTGAGTTTATTTTTGTTTCTCTTTGCTGAATAATCAGCTTTCATGAAGCTTAAAGTTCTTTCCTTTATGCTAAGAGAAACTGTTAGCTAGATGGAACTTGATTATCTGTACTTGCTGCTTTGAATTTTTCAGCAGTACAGATTGTCTTTTCTTCTGAAGCGTCATTGTTTGTATCATTTTGGCTACTCCATGTCTAGTCTACATTCCAGAAATATTTTGGGTTTAGTAATGTAATGTTCAGCTTAAGACTTTTGCTGATCTAGCACAATAAAATAAAACCTTTTCAGAACTAAGTATTGGTTGTTTTGATTTGTTTTGGTTTGGTTTTTTTTTTTTCTTTGCTTAGGTTAAGAAATGGAGTGAAATTCTGCAAAGTGCAAAAATTTCCTGAGGTACTGTTACTACATGCACTTTAAAGCACTTTTTTTGCATGATTAGGAATGTGGTAAGACTAATGAGTTGCATGGAGTAAATTGTGTTTATAATGTTATATGGCGAAAGCATATCTTCATACTGCCATTTGTTTTAAGAATGTGAGCAATGTTTGATTATTCACCCTGTAAGAAAGCGAATGTTGTACATGAAAACTAAAGTTAGAAGAATGGGGTTTTTCTATGTTGTTACTGTCAGCCTGCAGAACTTACTTATACTGTAGATCATAGAATTAAATACCACAGCCAGATTGGAAATCTTTTGTATAAGTAATGCTTGTAACTTTACATTTTAAAAGTAATCCAATCTTATACTTCAAGACATGAGTTGATAGCTGCAGTAATCAGGAAGAATTAATGTCCCTTGTAACAAGATTGTGCAATAGGTGCATTGAGGAAGAGAAAAGGCATGTTCATTGCTGCATCAGTGTTAGTAACTGTTCAGGACTGGGTTTTTTATACTGTCAGTAAGATAAGTCTTTGATAATTATAAATTCATTTCTAACTCCTTGAGCTGCAATTGATTTAAAAAAGAAAAAAAATCTGTGGAACACAGCGCTTGTGATAGTTGCCTCAGGCCATAGACAATAAAAGGAAAAGATGGCATGCACAGTGCACTTATTAAATATCAAATAGTAGCATGTATAGTTCTTGCGTGAATCTGTCGATCCTTCTTACAGATATTGTGCATTCATCTCAAAAGATTTAGACATGAACTTATGTTTTCCACAAAAATTGGGACCCATGTGTCCTTTCCCTTGGAAGGCCTTGATCTTCAGCCTTTCCTTGCGAAGGACAGTCCAGCTCAAATAGTGACTTATGATCTCCTATCTGTCATCTGCCATCATGGAACTGCCAGCAGTAAGTATGATGTTTGTTGTTTTGTCTTTGCAGTTGATATTCACGTCAGCACTTCTGTTAAAGGGTGATATCCATATACTGAAGGGTAAATAGAATAGCATTGCTAATTATAATGTGAAAGATAAATGCTGTGATTTTTACCTTGAACTATAAGATGGCTTGCTCTTAAAGAGTTGACACATCTTTGAAATTGTATGGCATACTTAAATAAAATTGTAGGTCAAAAAAAATTAACAGATCCTCAAATATTAAGTAAAAAACCTATATGCACTATTGAAAGTGAGCAGTATAAATGTACACATAATGTTACGTGCCAGTAGATGACCAGTTGATTGGCTGTTCTACACAGCTGCTGTTTGTCTAGAGTTTTGATGCTTTTTATGCCTTGCTTTTTAGTTCACAAAGCACCACAAAGATGCCAGTGATTTTTTAAAAATATGTTCTCTTGGATGATTGCTGCCAATTAACCCCCAAAAAGGCAGTAACTGCTATTTATGGTTAGTGATGAGTAGCTGAATAAAGGTCTTATTGCTATATGTCAAGTTCATTTCTGCCTAGGTGCTTCCAGCATTTGTAACATTTGGAAAATAGGAGAAAGAAAAGTTTGAAGCCAGAAACTTAAAAGATTTTTATAGAAGCTACCCACACGCTCATAATCCCCAAACTTGCGGTATCCATTGTTTAGATGAAGTTGTTTCCATTTTTTTCTGGATGCTTTTTCATCTTCCATTTAGTGCTTGCTGAATGATGTTTCTCGTAATCAGTTTAGTAGATATTTGATTATTTAAGTATTGGTAGTTGAATATGTATTTTAAAATAGTAATAATTTAAAATACATTATGAATAGTCTTCAAAACACAGTTAAGTATGGTCTTGATATCATGTAGCTATTACACATCTATGCTAATTTCTATTATAAAGCATACAAAGTTTTGAAGAGTTCATTGTGGAAACTGATTAGGGTAAATTTTTCGGACAGTCTTATTCTGGTTTGACTGTCATGGTTCAGGAGTGCATTAGTCAACAAGCTGCTTGAGGAGTTCAAGAGTATGCTGAAAGCGGTGTGCAACTTCCCACTAGCTGATAGAAATTCAGAAAAAAAAGCTGATCCTGAGCTTGAGAGAAGTTAATATCCAGATCATGTCTGCTAGTGATTTAATATTTCTCCCATTAAGACTTGCTTTTCTTTGGACTTCCTTCCTTATCATGTATTGCAGAGTAAAATGGGCAGCTCTGGACACTTTTTAACAACTCTTGCTTCTAACACTCCAGGTGGACATTATATAGCTTATTGTCGCAACAATTTAAATAATTTGTGGTATGAATTTGATGACCAGAGTGTCACAGAAGTATCGGAATCAACAGTGCAAAACGCAGAAGCCTATGTTCTCTTCTATAGGTAAGAAATAAAAAGTACGATCATACTCATATAAGTCAGGTACATAAATAACTTCTTAAGCAGTTGGGCAGCTTTCAGAAATTAGCTGCCCCACAAAAATTATAATGGAAGAATTGGACCAACCAGAAAAGCCTATACTGGAGAGAGACTTAATCCTTCAGTTATGTCCTTAACACTTGCTCTGTCACTGCTAAAACACGTATGGGTCTTAAAATGAAAATTAAATCTGCATAAATAAAGCATAGTAAGATGACTAGAAAGAGAACTTTAAGCAACTGTTAGAACTAGCCACCAATTACCTCATTTTCAATTAGAGGAAAGTAATTCTGCGCAAGGGGCGGTTTTGCGCACAGACTCTTAACTGTTAGAGCTCTAAAGGGAATTGTGGAAAGTCTTTAGCAGATGGGATGTGTAACAACAGAGGTTTTACTGTGTTGTAGTTTAATTTCAGGGAATTTATAGGCTGGTCTTGTCCTGAAAGTTGAAGTGAAAGGCGAGAAGTCATGTTATTATCATCTTCAGTCTAAGGAATTTTTGTACTTGAAATAATAAAAGTAACTTAACTCAATTTACAAATTCTAAATTTCTGGTACTAAGATCAAATTTCCACTAGAAGGTGACCGCAAGATAGTTTGTCAGAGTTGCACAAGAAATAAGATGTGTTCTGAGAATGTTTTAACTTCCATTAGGAGCACTTGTACCTGCCACTGTCTGAGCTAAGCCTGTGAGTCTGACTCAGTAGGTCTTCTTTTAAAAGGAGTGTGGAATTCATAATGTATTGCCAAGAAAGAGCACTGTAGTCGATTGTGGGCAAACATATTAAAATAAATTATAAAATAATAGCATTCATAAAATTTGGTTTTAAAAATGAATATACCCACAAAACACTACCACACACACAAAACAGATGTTCTTTCAGCATTTTAGAAAGCTTAGAGTAGGTATATGCATTTTTAAATTACAGCTGGAAAATGAACTTACCTACTTGAATTTCATTTTCAGACCTTAAGGTTTTTGTTAAATAATTTTGATCTGAATTTAAGTAGGTAATGTATTTTAATTGGGTTCATAGCATTTGTTTTTTCCTACTCTTTTAGTCTTGTTTTGCTATACTATAAATAGCCTTGTTGCTATAGCCATTAGGTCTACCTGAAACTTTTCTATCAGCTATTTGAGTCAACTTTGAGCCCATAAATTAACTGAGGTGGCCCAGCTTTTGCGTGATGCTGAGTCAAGTTTCAGGTCAGAGTTTTGGAGGATGGAATGAATGGTTCAAACCTGCTTTTGGAGAAGAGAGATTCTATTCAATCGAAAAACAGGAGAGCAGAGATACTTCCACCTGGATAGCAACAACAGGCTCAATGAGAAAAGTAGGGAGATACAGGAAGTGTAGGGGAATTACCCAATCTACTTACTGTTCAACCTTACTTCTGAAGGTAAGTAAGGAACATCTGCCCAAGGAGTACTGCTTGCAAAACTTTAGCTCAAAAGATGCATAGAGGAAATGGGCAGGTGGGCAGACCCTTATCTCCTTCTCCTGTGGTAGTAATCACCTCTGCAGTATAGTCTGCTGTTTCTGTTGCAGTCCAACTATTTGCTTTCTCAGGCTGGTGGGCTGAATGAGAACTGTCAGGGATCTTTTGAGTTGTTGAACAAAGCAGGCAAAAGTTTCTTGTGAGCACGATAACACCTGTGCCATGGCTTGTCAGAACTAAGGACAAGCACAGGTTTAACAGAGCAAGTAGTCTCTGCTGCCCTTCCCTCTCTGTACTAACTGTGCTGACTCTTGTGACACATGGTTCTGTAATGAGATAGTCTAGGTTCCTGCCACACATTTAGGTGGGGGCTCTTGCTGTGCATAAAAGGTGCAAGTTTTTCACATGTTAAGTCAACTACTTCGTGCTAGTAGAACTTTGAAATATAGACGTGGCCCAGGTAATTTACTTGAAAGTACTGTTTTCTTTTCACAAAGTAAATTATCTGCACTGTACACAAGGATATGTATTTGTTTAATGATTTCTATTTCGGTAATAGAAAGAGCAGTGAAGAAGCACAGAGAGAGAGACGGAGGATATCAGGTCTACTGAATATGATGGAACCAAGTCTTCTGCAGTTCTATGTTTCCAGACAGTGGTTAAATAAATTCAAGACTTTTGCAGAGCCAGGACCAATTTCAAATAATGACTTTCTCTGTGTGCATGGAGGTGAGACTGTAACTGAGTATCATTTAAAAAGGATTTGTCTGTCGACTAGTAGCTATATAGGGATGTACGCTTGTTTTAATTAAAAAGGGATTTGAATATAGTAAGTTCATATTATAAGTTCTATAACTTCTTCAGTAAATTAGAACTATAACTTCTAAGTAAATTATTTCTGTCATTTTAGTAGCTAACTAGTTGGAAATGATGCTGTGTGAAGTTCTCCTAATTTTTTTTTTCTTTTCTCTGCACACTTGATTTTGTTTATAAGCTTTCTTGATTCTTAGCAAGGAACAGTTTGGCTTATCTGCTTGCTTCCTAAACATGTATATTCCCATTTTTAAAAATCCTGTCACTTTATCATCATCCTTAATACTTTGTTCTGCCAGTCTAAATCTTTTTCTCAGCTACATGCTAGAAGCAACAAGAAGGTTTGAAAGCCGCAGGACAAAAAATTGGTCTGATACAGAGTATCCAGTGCATAGCAGTGTGAAAATAGAGTAGTAATTCTGTATATTTTGTATAGGAGCATAAAAATTTTGCATTGTGCTAGATGTTAATAAGAATGAGAGAATTACATTAAGCAAAACATATTTGGGGAAATATCCATATTTGAGTGCTAACATTCCAATAAATCATTACTATGTGGTGGTGTTATACCTATTTTCTAATAAAAAATACAGCTGTATTAGATTAGCAGTTAGAGGTACTGCCCCTGTTGCTGAACCAAACTTTTAATGTGGGAATATTGTGCCCCTGTAGCAATTTGCAGAGTGTGTACACGTGAGCCCTTGTGGCTGTGGCTTTCCTTTTGCAGGGTTACAGCAGATGACTCTTGTACAAGTGCCCAAACTATTAGATTTTCCTTATTCAAAAGAATTCCTGCATAGCACATTGCTGGTTACCATGTGCTTCAACTCAGTGCTTCTAATTCTGCAGCCCCCTCTATTTCTGCCTTGCTCAAAATGTTACTACTTTCAAGCATTCATGTTTGAAGTAATTAGAAAAGGTCTACAGCAAATAAGTGAATATTGAATAGACGGTTTGCTAATATGTTTACATGCATAAACAAAATATGTAATCACTCTTTAACATTCTAATTGAATACCTTAAGCATTTTGCAATCAGTATCTAAAAAGGATTCTAGCCCTTTAATTTTAATCTTTCATGTATTTTGCTTCTACTTTTTATGAACTTTTCAGCCTCATAAAAGACTAGAATTAGAGTGGTCTCTTTAAATACAGTAATAGATTATACTGTGGTAAAACTTGTTTCACACAATTTCTCTGAATTTATTGAAAGGTTCTGGGTTTTATTTTTTTATTTAGAGACCTCTAACTATTTTTTTGTTGTTGTTGGTGCTTCTGAAGGTGTTCCTCCCCACAAAGCTAACTTCATAGAGGACCTAGTTGTAATGCTACCTCAAAATATATGGGATAATCTGTATAGCAGGTAAGTTTTGTACTGTAACTGGAAAAAAAATCCAGTGATTCAGTTTGAGAGCAAATGTGCCAAGCAGCACAGACTTTAGAATTAGTGGCTCATAAAAAAAAAAACCTCTAGGCACAAAGCTCAGTGAAGGGATTGCAAACGGCCAATTTATATAATTTGCTTGTGCAAAGTAATGCTAAAAGCCTCAGAAAGTAGTGTGTTACTGGGATAATACTTGAGTATTAAACCAATAAACATGTATGGTATGTACAAAATGATGCAAAGTAGGTCAGCAAAAGTACGCTTTGCAAGAGGTATTTTGAAAGACCTCTCTGTAGCAGCTTCCTGTTCTCTTGTTGGCTTGAGACAGCTTTTCTTTTATGTTGGCTTTGAATCCATAGCCTCAGCTGCCAGTACTGCTTCAAAATAACTTATATCTAAGCATTCTGTATAACTACTCCACACTTTTTAATGTAGATCAGGTTTAAGTGCTTGCTTATAAAGGAGGGATTCTTACAAGTTTCTCCTTTTAAAGTAACAAAGAGCTGCATAACAGCTTTGTTGATGACCTTAAGGACTCTGTATGGCACTTGCATTAAATATTTTTACCTGTTAATTTTCTGCCACCTAAGCACTATAGCTAAAGGGTTGGGATTTTTTTCTTTTAAAGTTTCAATGGACACAAATGAAAAATAGAAACAATTTCCAGCTTATTTCCACTTTCCTAGATGTACTGAATTTTTCTTCCAACCAACAAAGACATTATCCGTTTTCTGTATGCAGAGTTTTTTGTTATATCTGAAGGAAAATGTTTTTAAACCTCTCATTAATTTCCCTTCTCTATTAACTTTTTTAACAAGATGTCAAACTTCAATCATTTGATAGAAAAGTATAAGTCCCAGAGATGATGGGGTCCTCCAGATTTTGAGAGTAATCTACTAGGTAGAAAAGAGGTATGAATTGTTACTGCTAAACATTTGTCTGTTCTGTCTGGCTTCCTCTGGCACATGCACCCTTCAATATAGAGTAGTTCTGAAGCAACCATGTTTTGCTTTATGTCTTGCTGTTATCTGGGAATTATGGGAGAATACCATGGCTGCAGTGGTTAAGAATTTAGGGCGAGGAAGCCAAATATGGTGGAAGCTGACTTTTAATGAGATAACATTAAGGAAAAGGAGATATTCATCTGGAACACCGGTTGCCAGTCCATGTCCCAGTTATTTTGCTGCTCATGTGGCACTACTCCTTTTCAATTCCAAATTCAGAGTTGCTTCAAAATAATATAGTATAATCCATACTTGACCTATTTTAGTTAAAAACTTGTGAACTGATCAGTGCAGTCTAAAGACAAAGTGTCATCTTCAGAGGTGCAATTTAAGTGGTAGATGACCATTTTATGAAACATATGTCTTTGTTAAGTTGGGATTATTGAGTATATACCAAAAAACTTGTATATCCAAGTGCTGTTGGACTGAAATAATGCTTTAATTTTCAGTTAAAATACAACACTTCTGTATTTGGGGGAGGGAGGGGAGCACCCCAAATTATTTTTATGGACTGACAAACATACAAGTCTAAAAAGGGAAGAAAAAGCAATGCCTTCAATGGCAGAATTTTGTTTAATTTTTTTCACTAAGTAAACAATTATTTTTAACTCTTGCTTAAGTACTTTCATATTTTGAACTTTAATTCATGTTGCTATACTTAGGAGCACTCTCTTTTATCTCATTTAATGTAAGATTTTTAAAATAAAATCTGAAGTTCTAGAAGAGAAACGAAATTGGAAGAGAACACTGCTCTGACAAAAATAATTATTAAACTAGGAAGTAGAACCTGGAATATCTTTATCTTGATGTATATTTTAACCTGACCTTTCTGTTGTAGTAAATGCATCTCTTAAGGCTGATAGTCATTCAAGAATATTTTCTTTATCCGGCTTCTAGTTTCCAGGCTAGCAAATGGTGCCCATGTTTATAGTGATACGTATATACACACACACATGCACACCACACACATATATACACACAGACACACATATCTTTCTCTCTATATATCTATCACCTGTGCTTCTCAGTGACAGTGCCCCTGAAGACTTCCATGTATGCTGTTCCACGCAAGGAAAATATGGAGGGGAGGGTCATGGAGAATAACTTTTTAAGAACAAAACAATAAACAAGTTTGGAGGCTGGTGTCAGGGAGGTTGCAAACTGATGAAGAGCCTGCAATGGAATGGAGGAACATGTTTAAGAGAACTGACTGGAACATTTCCATATTCTGTTTCTTAGAGGTCTTTAATAAAATCACACATGGTGTGTATATAACAGAATACTTGCTCACTGACATGTTCTTCCCGTAGTAACACCTTTTCAAGTATGTGATGCAGCAGAGTTTGAGATAGCTTTAGGCAGTCAGAACTTGGAAGATGGTTGTGTCTTAGGACAGAGTACAAAATATTACTAGGAAAACACACCATGTCATTTGTGGATCAGTGAGACTAGTATGTATCAAACTTCTGTTACATATTATAAGAAGCTGACACTTGTGATGTCTACAGGTGCATGATCTTTTTATATGGTATTTTCCTCAAGGTTAATGGTTTTTTACTTTTACTGCAGGTATGGAGGAGGACCAGCTGTTAACCATCTGTATGTTTGTCATACCTGCCAAATAGAGTCTGAAAGAATTGAAAAAAGAAGGAAAAATGAATTGGAAATGTTTATTCGGGTAAAAAAGTAAACACTTATTCATTCTGCTTTTTGACATCACCTGATATTCATGACTTGACTGAAGGGGTTACCAGAAGTGCATAAGTGGTACCTGTAACAAATGGACTTTATTAAATGTCTGTATACCTATATAGAACCCCTTATTTCCTGTTGGCAACAGTAATGTTCTTGTGATATCCCAGATAACTGTTTATATGGAAATGTACTTGGAGAAAATATTTATTGTGTTTCTTAAATTGCTTTTTTATAGTATGGAAATAGAGTGCAGCCACATGAGCAGTTGTTCTTTCTACGCTGCCAGTGATCTGTTATGTGCAATCTGATAAGGTTTAAGTGCAATAATACTGTGCCGACAGAAGGTTAATCATAATCTTTATCTCTACTTCTAATTTTAAAGATATCATTAGAGACATAAACAAACATAAATAATTCAGTGTGAAGTAGATACCTTAGTATTGTAATGGATCTGTAAAATTAGTATCAAGCAGCTACTATATTTTCCATGAGTTAGAGATTTATGTGCATGAGTCTGGTAAAATAACTAATAGTAATGATTTTGTAATTCTTAAATCAAAAATGTGCTTTGAAGTTTTCAGTGAAAATAAATGCAGAGATATTGGAGTCCCATTTCTGCTATCTTAACTCATGAGAGGGAGAAAAATAGAATTGCAGATGCTCTTTCAGTTCTATCTGTGCTTTAATCACACTTCAGAGATTGTGTCACCTTTTCCATGTTTTAACTGCTATTTAAACTTTTTAGTAATTGATTTTTCTTTAGTCTGGGTTACCACTGGATAGTAATTATTATTAACAACATTGAGTGAACCTCATTTGCTTTTGTGATCAGTATTTTTCCAGCATAAACAATGATTATATGTGCACCATTGTGCAAGTATTGTTACTGGTTATCAGACAGAAAATTCTGTTGTCCTCTATAATGATTGCTTTAGGGAATGATTGCAGAACTTTCTCTTGCTGAAACCTTAGGAAGTTGTGTTGATGCTTTAGGTTCATGGCTTCAAGGTAGAAATATAACTATATTATTACACAGCTAAAAGATAATGGTTTTAAAGGTTTAAGTGACTTTTTGCATGTTCTTAATAACATTGTGAAAAGATCTGTACTCTCTGAAAAAGAATAAAATGTTAAACTTCTGAACATTTTAATTATAAAAAAAATCTTTTTTACAATGATAGAAACAAATTTATTTAAAGATTCTTTACTTAACTGTTTTTTTGTAATTTATAGTCACTTACATTGCCTTGCAACAGAAACTCAGAAAACCATGATGTGGTGGTTTTTTGTTTTGTTTTGTTTTAATTCTAAAATAGTAGGAACAAAAAATATTTCATGTTTGTTAACTGAAGCAAAGAAAAGTCATGAAAAGTCCCAGTGCATTAGTTCACCATGCCTTGCTTGGAATTGTACTGGCATCTGTTCAAAGTATTAGGGCAAAAACCAAACATAGATGAAGATATAGTTCATCACACAAAGGACCTTCCATAAAATTATGGAGCAAATCTTTCAAAACACAGTTTTGTTTTACTTTACAAAAACAAGTTTTCTGCTTGCTTTTGCTACTTGGAAGTTCAGCCTTCACAGTAATTATCCAATGGTGTCTGATGGGTAAGCACTTGTGCTTAAGAAGAACTTGTTGCTGTTTTCAGGAAAAAATAAGTAAATTCTCAAGTAAAAAATAAATCATCTTTTAATATGAAGACTACCACTACATCAAAATCTCACTGTGGGAATTCACCAGGTGTTTACTGTTCTGATGGTCAGTAGTTCTTTAAAATGTTCTGTAGCAGTGTAATATTATGCTGTTAATAATTGCAGTGGTTAAAAGAATTCAGTAGTTTAGAGAAAAAAGACAACAGAAAAACACGGCTTCTTTTTCCTTTCAGCTTAATAGAGCATTCCAAGAAGAAGAATCTCCATCAACATTTTACTGCATCAGTATGCAATGGTTCAGAGAATGGGAAGGGTTTGTAAAGGCTAAAGACAGTGGTAAGTTGTGCTCCATTTCAAATTATGGGTAGTCTTTTCTTTTTTTTGTTGTCCTGTAGTGGTACTGTTTCTGCTTTGGTAGAAGGCTGTAGGAAAAACAGATAGAGAAGGCAACAAAAGCTCTTAAAATAAACACGTAAGACATGGGGTTTATAGGTTACTAATATATCCAGGAACCAAATGACAGAATATAGTCAAATAATTCACACGAATGGATAATGGCATAGTTGTGGAAAGTATGTTTCTTGTTTGCAGAGGATTTGCTGTTACCAGCAGCAGGAAATTTGGATCTAAGTACAAGGGGGGATAGATTTTGCTGTGCAAACGGATAGGTAATGCTATGGCTTCTGGAGGAAGGGTGACCTCACTGTCACAACCTAAACTCATAGATAACTGAGTAACAACTATAATAATATTACTGTAGCCTACTTTAGGTGCCTCTAAAGTTTTGTAATGGAAACACTGATAAAATGTTCTACAATCTTGTCAGAGTCTGCACTAGGACAATTTTGCTAGGGGTAAGAATTAGGATTAATTTGTGTCTTACGTTGCTTGAAGACTTGCTGTAATCATGAATGCTTTGAAAAACTTTCTCTTAATTAAAATTCTGATTATCTTTTAAAAACTTAGAATGTACTGTTAAGCAGTACAATAACAAGCAGTAAACAAATGAACTACTTCTCCTTCCATTTGAAAATAGAACCTCCAACCTGCCACTTGTTTTCAGCTCTCCCAATTTTAATCATATCTCTGTTACACTAGATCCTCCTGGTCCTATTGATAACGCTAAGATTGCAGTAACAAAATGTGGAAATGCTGTTCTAAAACAAGGTAGGTGTCCAATGTTGATGCAGCTTTGGGCTCATGTGTTTGCTGAAGTTTGGAAAATTTATTATGAATTCTTTTTTTAACTGTTATTGAAAATGGCAATTCCTAGTGAATTTGTATTGTGTGCATTTAGGGGGGACCAGCTTATTCTTAAAATAAGAATTAGTATCTGCAATAGACTAATCCAAGTGCAGATGAGAGTGTAGGAGGTGCAGAGTAAGTTTAAAATGGTGAAAGTGTGCTTTGGCTTTGTATCACTTGGATTGATTTGGGTTTTCTTAATGTAAATTGGGAGATGCTTAGCTTTTAGCCTGTGTCATATATCTGTATGTAGTTATTTGAATCCTGAAACCTAATTTGAATTGAGAGCTACTTCTGACAGAGGGAAAGAAACCACAGTAAGTAAAAGCTGTTGCTCATTTTTCTGCAAGTTACTTGCCACTGTACATTGCAAAAACTACTCTAGCATGCAAAGATACAGGTTTTTTTATTATTCTTCACAGTCAGATGCTTAATACCATTTATTTGAAATTGGCAGGTACAGAGAAAAATATTCTAATATGGCCTGCTTTATGAAGACTTTAGACTTCCTATGAATATTTAAATTCATTGCAGCTTAGCTTAAAAAAAATAAAATTGAAGATTAAGATTAACATTTATTTAACTGGATTTTTTTCCCAGTTTAACTTAATGCCTCAGCTACAGTGGACCTACCAATGGCAGTTCACTGGAGGCCACTAGGCCCTGCGTAAACCTCACCAATTGTGAAATGTGAAGAGTGTATTTAAAAAAGAAGGAGTTCTTGCACTCATGAGTTTTGCAGTACGTTTTAATGATTTAAGTGCTAATGTAGAATTGAAATACAATGTATAAAGCATCTGACTGATGTGTAGCAAAAAAAATTAATCCTTTTAGAATCAATAATTGATGGCAAATTAGCCAGTTGTTGACTTACCTTCAGCTACGTTGATTCAAATTAGAACTTGGGTAGAAATGACAACGAATAGGCTGTGGAAACTTTGTCTCGTAAGTCATGAGAGAAGAGGTGGGAGTGCCACTAAATAGTGTACATTATTACATATTTCTGTGATACTGATCCTAGTGCATTAGTTCACGGTGCCTGTTCGGTTAAATCTGACCATTAGAAGAGCCGGAATCTGGATAAGGGGGTCAAGATCTGCCTTTGTGCCTAGAGAGATGGAGTTGTTTTTTGAGAACCTGAACTTAAATGAGTAGAACTGAGGCATAAAATCACTAGTACTGGCACAGGATCTGCATCATGACTTCCAGATGAAGCTTTGCATGGCTGAGTTAGTGTAGGTAAACAAACATGCAGCTCTTTGTACCCTTCCTCTTTGGAAACTTTTTATACATAAAGTACAGTAGTAGGCCCACTGGAGCGGGTGGTGAGGATAGAAAAGTATAGGAGGTAGGGGGAGAAGTCCCCTTGTTATGGTGCTGCGGTTTTTTTGTTTGTTTGTTTTTAAGCAGGAAGGTGCTGAAATTAGGCTTAACAAGACAAATTAATAGTATCTAATAAGGATGTTGGTCGAAACTTGCTGCGGGGCAGGTTTTTAATGAGTTGCTTAAAGAAGAGGGAGTTTATTTTGGTAGAACAGGAGTTTGTTCTCTCTGCCTAGGTTACTGTGAAGAAATCACTTCAACTGTATCAGACAGGATCCCTGTGTTAAAACCTGGAGGGGCAATGTGCTGATGCTCCCTTGCCCTTTGCCACTATAAAAGGTTATGGAAAATCAGAAATGATTGTTGGATGCTGACTTGAGACAGGAGAGGGTCCTCTAGTCAAAGGAATGGAATGATAAGCAAAGACTTTAATTGGTGAATGAAAAGAAATCAGGCTGGCATACAAGGAGCATTAGAGGGGCTGTTAATGGCCTAACAGTGGTTTCAATCTGGGGTTCTGAGAATTTCACTGTGGTTCTCACACTTCTGTTCTTTACTATCAGTATTAATTTATTTGATGAAGCAAGAATCTTGAGTCCTTGAACTTTACTGTGTAATTGATGGGACTGCATGTCCTTATATTAATGTGAATCATTGTTTCCAGTGGACCAAGAGCTACCAGTTGTCATCTTTATTAATAAATATCAGATAAGATATTTATCATAGAACTTTCATGTGTTTTGTGCTTGAGGTATGTTAACTACTGGAAAATTTAGAGCAGGTAGTTGTAAGAATCAAGAAGTATAAAATTAACACAAAATATGTCATTGGGTTTGGCAGTTGGTGCAATATAAAGCACAAATTCAGCTTAAGGTTTTAAATTTGAATCTATATTCTTTTTTCTTTTTGTATCTGTTATAGATTTCAAAGAAATCATGAAAGAGTTATTCTAAATAGTAATTAAAATTTTAAAAATGTTTTCAGGTGCAGATTCTGGACAAATATCTGAAGAAACATGGAATTTTCTTCAGTCAATCTATGGTGGAGGTCCAGAGATTATACTCAGACCACCTGTTCCTCCTATAGAACCTGATATCTTGCAAACAGAGGAGAAGATTGAATTAGAAACTCATGGTCTGTAGCTATTGAGAAAAAGATGAACTTGTAAGGACTCCAGCTTCCTTACAAAATGCCCAAAATACATTCCTAAATGTTTTATTCTCCTATGTCTGGAGGCACAGCTCACTGGGCATTACATTAACTACAGAATAGTAAGTTGAAATATGTATTACAATTTGTTTAAATAGAGGCTGTTTCTCTGTTTTGGAAGGCATGTGGCTTGTACATTTTGGAGTGTTTGGTCAATGGAAAAAATGTAATTTCTGAACTTTCTGGTATAAGTCAAAATCCTGTTATATCCTTAGACTTGAAAAATGGGGACAAATTTTAGAGATGTTCAATAACCCTTCTGATTCCTGATTGGGCTTCTGATATCTACAAACTTTTGTCTGTCTTAATTTTACAGTCTTGAGAAGCCTAGGTATATGGGGAGTATATTTTAAATGGATTGCAATCAATGATAAAGAAAAAGGATTTTAATTTCCTAAATGCTCAGGAAAAAAATTCTCACTTATTTTGCACTGTAAGTATATGAAATGTGTAGTATATAACATCCAAATACTTATTGTATTTGAATGGATCAAACATAAGTGTAGACTGAATATTGTTTTAGTCAGCAAATGTCATAACTTATTACCTACTGAATTTTACATCTTATTATAGTCTTCTGTAACTCTCTATAAACCTGGCTAGTGTCTTTAATAGTATATGTGACAAAAAGATTTAGTCTTCTCTAGGGTAATGTTTGAGAGCATGAAGTGTGAAATGTAAAATGATTATGGACATGAGTGATATAAATTTCAGAAATTAAATTGTCTGGTCTCTTGAATTACATTCATAAACAGTTCCATTTGAAGGATTTTATTGTATTGTTAAAAATTTTCATTGGCATGATGACCTATAATGTCAGAAGCTGGATAAAGTGTATATATTGCAAAACTTTACTGAATGATTCATATTGGAATGCAGAATGGCACTTGCTCTTGTTTTTGCCTGATATTGTTACCAAATAAGCAGCATTATTCAAGGCTGGATCAATAAAAAAAAAAAAATTAAACTGTGGAAGAGGCAGGGGGGAAGCTTTCTTAAACGTTTTTATTTATTACATCAATACAAAAACTTTTGAAGTAATGCTGTGGTACTGCTGTTACACCCACATAACTATGTTTCTTGACCACTTTATGTTTAGGCAACGATGTTGACAGTTCTAGCTCCAAAGTAAGAAAATGCTGACATAACATTCTTCTGGATAATTTTATATCTAGTATAAAATCAAACTGGTTTTGAACTTTGTAAACCACTTAAAGCCATTCTGGTTAAAAAGCCACCTAAAAGAGTCCTAGAGAAAGTGTCCTCTAACCTTAAGTACTTGGTAATGTGCCATGTAGGAGTCAGTTCTGTCTGAATGTAAATCCCAGTATTTTCCTCAGCCTACCTGAGAAAAACTAGAACTAAAAACACAGCAGAGCAAATAAAAGGGGTAAAAGGACAGCAGTATGAAGCCAATGATTATATGTTTGGTACATAAGGAAAACATTTTTCAATTTTAAACTGTATTGCAGGTAACTCTTGGCCAGCCTGTTAAGTTTCTGAACTTTTATGTAAGTGTTCTTCTTTAAATTCCAGAGGAGATCATGGGACATTGGCAGCTGAGAAGCCTTGCATGTACATCGGTGTAAATGTAAAGAAACACTGAGCAGAGACTTTTAATGTCTTGACAAGGTGTTTGGACAATTTTATATTAGTAGATAAGGCAACTTGAAGTTAATATCAAGTTACCCCTGTATCTACAAGGTAAACACATCAGTTACTACTACAGACTTGTCTTACTTATTAAGGTAAAGTTGACTTGCCTATGTACAGTCAATAGTTACTTGCTGACTTTGGCCTGTGTAAGGCTGTTCTAACTTCCCACCTCCAGTTTTGTCCTTTTTTCATATTAGGGTGATGAAACTAAACTTGGATTTATACTGTCTTATTTTAACTTTTTTTTAAATTTTTTTTTCTAAGGTTTTATCTCATTTAAGCTATTCTTAAGGTTCTCTAGCATACTAAAGCTAAATAGCAATGAATAGGTCTGCATACTTTAGGGAAGAATTTTTCCTACATGATATTCTTAACTGGAAACCTGGGAAATATCTTTTTTGGTTAAAGCACTGTATGGTGGTCAGGTTTCCCAATTTATTCAATGTTTTCATTAATAATCTGGATGGTGAAACAGACTGCCCCTGTAAAACTTGCAAAAGAAAAATGGATTGAGTGTTAAGGACATCAGCTTGTTGGGGAAATGAAGCAGTTCTGTGCTAAGTATTCTGGGTATTACAGCAGATCAGACTAAGAGTTAAAATCCAGTGATACCAAAACAAAACCTGTTCTGGGTAATAGTAACAAAAGCATCAGATGTGAGGCACAGGAGGTAATTATTCTGCTCTACTTGGTGCTGTGCTGCTTGTGAGAACTCATCTGTACTGTTCCCAATTTTGGATGCTACATGATGATAAATACAAGTTGAGGTTATTTCAGAGAAGAGCAACAAGACTCAGTGTTGAAAATGAAGTTGTTCTCTCACTTAAAAGGATGCTGAAGGTGCAACACTTCCAGTGTGGAGATAATTGGTGGATAATAGTGAACAATTTTTCCTAGACGAGTAGGGATATTTGCCTCAGCTTTATCAATGGTGACTTCTGCTGGGTTTAGGTAGCCTATTAGAAATCTAGAAATCTTCTAGCAGTTTTGCCAGTCTTTTCCACTGGGTTTCTGGGAATCCATAGTCAAACATAATCTTAAACTTTGATGCACATAAATCAGTAACGAGACACTTAAAACTAGCAGAGTTTGTGAAATGCCTCTATCACTGCAGTAAAAGGCATCTTCACACTACAACTGTTTGTCATGCTTTAAAAAAAAAGAAAAGAAGAAATCCAGAGTTTGCAGAGATGAAGTAGATGTGTTTGTGTTTAAGACAGTTCCAAAGAGATGACTGTCTTGCTTTTAGCCCTTTGAGAGCTCTACAAGGGATTTTATGCCACAGAAATGGAAGTAGCCTTTTAAAGTAAGACAGTGTGGGAGAACTCCCGATGGATGGCTTGTGTATGCTGGAAGGAAGGCAACAATTCAGAGAATAGGTAAAGGAGAAGCCTTTACTGTGAAGAGCTGTCTGATTTGCAGCAGAGAAAGAATGCATCTCGGCAAGGGGCTGTGGAAATTATTTTTTTCCATAAGCCTTTCACCAGACTATTTGGATTCTTTGTTCATTTGTTTCCAGTTGAGGAAACACAGCAATGTGTTTGGGTGCCAGGGAAGCTGTCATTTCAAGAAGGGAAAAATCCAGTGGAGTCCTTGTTTTAGGCCTGGGAATCTAGATTTGAGCTGTTAAAAGCCTGCTGTTCAGTCTGGTAACTTTAATCCTCTCTTCTGGAGAAAACTGCATGGGGGATGTGGGAAATTTACCAGCTTAAACCTTGATTTCTCTAAATTTGTGAAGTTTTTTTGCAAGTAGTATAGGTATAATTGTTCATCTGAACCCCCAGCATCGAGGAGAGTGCTTCAGATACTGTGTGATGTAGCTGAACAGTGTAATTGGAGGGAAGAGATTAGTGGAAGAGCTATTGAGTTACTCAGTAGTAAAATAAGGCACTTCTATAATATGCTTCAGAAGTGACAGCTAAGTAGTCCGTCTGCTTAATAAAGTAAATAAAAATTACCTGCTTGTTAGCTGTAAAATTATCCCATGTTATACTTTTACTGACTTAAAGGACAGTCTCTTCCTTTCCTGTGACTGGAACATCAGGAAATGAAGGAAGTTCTGAAGACAATTCTGTGATGCAAATTCATTGTTTAACTTGGGTAGTCCAGAAGGCTGTTTCTGCAAGTATAATCTAAATTACTCCTGTGTCTAGGGATAGATATATAGAGAGATATATATAAATGCACATAATCTATTTCTCCAGTCTCTTAATTGAACTGTGGCTGGAGGCACTACAGTAATTATTTTTGGTTCTATGTTGGAATAGTGATCTTGAGTAGATACATCCAATAAAGGTTGTTTTCTGTTTTCAAATAGATAAATGACACTCAACTGACTGATGTAATGAGTGTCAGCCTTCCCAACAGTAATGGCCTGAAAGTTTGCTAGGTAAGTTAGAGACTTCATACACTGTTCAAAAGCTGTATGAAGATAAGATGAAAAAGGGTAAAAGCTATTTTTATTAATTCATATCAGATGGACTCAGAACCATTTTGATAACTCTATTTTATTTGAATACTGTTGTAATTGTCAGCTGTTGAGCTGCCTGAATGCAGCAAAAACATGTTTTAAAGTATCCTCTAATACCTATTTGACAAAAACTGCTGTAGGGTAAGCCCTCTGTGGTGAGACACTACACACCTGCCAAATCTGAATTCAAGGGAGAACAGCCACACCCATTTTTGCTACCCATCCCTGACAGTGGTAAAGAGATCTTGCGTTTGAATCTGCTCTGTCTAGGTATTGTACTATGACTTACAAACCTACTGTATGCAGCTGGGTCAATGGAAGCTAATTTATTTAGGTTTTTTTTATGTAATTAATCTATTTCTTCTCCCTGGCGATATCATATTTGATGTGGAAGTTCTAGTCTGTTTGGCTTTGCTCAGAAGTCACAGTCCTGTGGGAATGCTTACCATTCTATCAACAGAGCTGTGCTGATAGAAATTAACTTCTGACTAAGCTATCCAAGTAGAGATGTCAAGATTGGAGCTAACAAGTAGTAGTGCATTAGTCCCTACTCTGGAGGCTAGATGATAACATACTCTTAGAAATCTGTCCTTCCAGCAGAGTGCAACACTCAGTGACATCTGAAAGAATTTATATTTGGAGCCTTTTGTAAATTTGTATGGTCCCATATTTTCCTAAAGAGCCCCAAAGCAGGGTAATTTCATGTCAGTACCTGTTGAGTTAGTGGTATGTCCCACTGACAGTGGGATATCAGCATAAAGTGTTAGAAATATCTTTGGCTATAGAAATATATTATGTGGATGAAGCAGTTTTCATTGGTGGAGCAAAAGTTAAATATGCCCATTTAGGCCTGAATTTTTGCTATGAAATCTGGTGTAATTTGATGTGCTATGCTAATGCATTATGTAAGAATCCTGCTTCTCAGATTCAAAACTTATATAGTGATTGGCTTTTTCTAACACAAGATATCCTAGGTTTTCTTAAAAGGACTAAAGCCAAGATGCTTCTTTCAAGTTAATATAGGCATTTATTTATAATGTTACTGCTAACATTTGATTTTTTTTTTTTGATTGATAGATTATCTTGTTATTCATCACGTAAGGTCATTTGGAAAAGCAAACCTAAGATTTGGAAAATTTACAGGAAAACTTACAGACTATCTGCTTAAAGGGGCAAGTGGTTGCTTCCTATTTGCCATACAAATATTTTATACTGAAATAAGAAAATTCTGTTCCATTTATTCCTTTTGAATTCCCTTCATACATCTGGCTTAGTGCAGTCTAAGCAGTTTTCTCACTGAAAACCTTTCAGCTCTTCATTTTGCCCAGGAAATGAGTAAAACAACTAGGCTTTTTCATTCTTCCAAACAGATGGCTTTTCTGGCTTCCCTCTCTACTTAAGCCATCCAGAGCTGACAATTAGTAGCAGGAAGCAAAATAAGAGTTCTAGATTTCTGAAGTGTCACAAAGAAAGACAAATCACTTTCAGCATTATTTCACAGAAATTACCTGGTTGCAAACAAACTTGGCTTATATTAGCTTTCAAAATCTAAGCAGATTAGAAAACAGCCTTGATCAGTAAGAAATTTGAAAGCGCTATTCTCATTAATGGTGAAAAGTATAACTTGTTTTCTTGAATATATTCTATAATATATATATCTGTTTAAAACATGTGACTTGTCTTAAGATAAGAATAGCTTCAGCCTAGCTTTCAGCCATTCAACAAAGCGACAAGGCTATTTCTCCATAAAAAGCAGTGTGAACACTGCCACACAGTAAGATAAAATGTCATCTGTTTATAATACATTTAATATTACAGATGTTTGCTTACAATAGCAGTCATGTTTTTCATAGAAAAGCTGGTATTATTTACTCTATCACGAAAGTTTTCTCTCTTCTAAATCTGTGTCACCTGAGACATGCAGCTAGAAAAAGAAGGTCCATTTGTGAGAAACATATCACTGATGTGTGTGATAGGTTTTATGGGTTGTTAGTGATACCACATGCCAAATCACTTGATGACAAGTTTCCTTATAAGGGTCATAGATGGGTATATGTTTGGACTTAAGAAAATGCAGTAGGAACTTGATCATTCAAGTAGGACAAGTATAAGATGAATAAGCAAGAAATTTCATTTTCTGACTTGTTCAAGATTGAGTTGATTAGCTAAAAAGGTACAAGTTCTGGTTGTTGAAATGAGTGGACATGAGGAAATAGAGTTGACACTTACTGATTATATACTACTATAAAATGAACTGTCAGTGAAAAAGTAAAGTTGGAGTAATAGGAATACACTGGTTGTTTATGCAGTTTTGATATGCCTTTATGCAATGTTAGTGAATCTCAAATCACTTCTGTTTCTCACTAGTCATTTGTTCAGCAGCATAGGAGGTGCAAAAATCAAGCAGTCACCATCCACAGAATGCTTCCATAATATAAATGAAGTTGAGAAGATTTCATTTCCAGATATGTTCCTTTTTCTCACTTGGAACTCACAAAGAACTTATTATACGTTAAGAGCTTTAGTAAGATCCATTTTTGGAATAACTTACCACATGAGAAAGTAAATCTTAAAGTACTTTGTTGAGAAGAATAAGGAGGGCAGAGGAGAGGAAGCATTTGATTCTTACAAGTAAGAAAAAACTTAGCTCAAAATAAATTGTCAGTTGTCAAAAATAGCAATTTTTGTCTCTTATCTCATAGGACAATGCCAAGACCTTTTCATTTTCATTGTTCTTGAATAGTTTTGCCCAGAAATGAATATTTTTCTAGGTGACTAATTTTGTTCTGTCCAGTGTGGTTTTTAATGTACACGCTAAAACAAGATGTCCTGGTTACCATGGTGATACATTGCTTTCCCCCCTCTTCCCCCGGGTGTCTGTTAAAATGCCAAACCCAAATGAACAGAGATGCAGCACTTGCTCATGCTGTGAATGCATGTTAGTTTCCACCAATGCGCACACCTTCTTTTTAGGACCAGAAGTAAGACTACTTTGAGATTTTCAGCTATAACAAAAGAACTGCGCTTGTACATGCCAAATTGCTAATTGATTGGCAGCTATTAATTCAGTTAGACAATATTTTCAATTAAATTTCTAGTCCAGTACTGAGATTTTTATATTTGGACTGACTTTACAATTTAACTGTAGAAGCAAGAAATATGACATTTATTTAGCTATGAACACTTCTTTAGTGTCCCATCTTCTGAATAATTTTTGGTAAGGAAAATGTATTCTTTCCTACCTTGTTTGTTTGTAGTATAATTAATTGGCTTTCCAACCAAGCAGGGTAGTGGAGGTAATTTATCTCTTAAACTAGATCAGTAGCAATCTGAACTTCATGTGTGACCTTGACTTCACATGCTCAAGTGCAGAGGCTAGTCTTCCTGGGCTCTTTCTGTAGATACTGAAAAAGATACAGGTAATGGAGGCACTTTCTGGGCTTCTGGTCTGTAAGCTGTCTCCAGAAGGTGTAAGTTTCCTGACCGCACTGTCAACCTAAATCTGAAAAGTGCCTACCCTCCATTCTGGATTTGAGCCCTGAACAGGGATCTCTCCTTCTTAAACTGTTAGTGGTGCTGGTGTCCACTCTTGTGTGATGGCAATTAGGTTTAAATAAAAATTCAACCTTTCACCTCCTGTATGAGAGGGCCCTAATCACAAGCTAGGCTTGTCTTTAAAAAACTTTTCTGTTTGGAAAAAAAACATGCCTAAAGGCTAGGCAGAAATGTGCCAGGTCTCTTTTTTTTATTTTATTTTTATTTTTTCTAGATTTTACTTGAAAACTTCTAATCTGTGTTTTTCTGGTTTACATTGACATACTACATGCTGCTCGGTTTGAGTAACAATAGAGCCCTTTACTGTGGTCTAGGACCTGAAGAAATATGCAAGGTAGTCAAAACAGTAACAGGGATATTCCATGACCTGACACATCTTTATGTAGGTTGTACATAATTCAAAGTATTAGTGCAGGACCACTAATACCTGAGAGTGCTCCAAACATGAAACAAAGGGAAGTTTCTAAAGGAGAGGGGAAAGATAAAAGTGATTGTTTGGATAGGCTGTAAGGGATAAAACTCCTGGAGTAAGCTAACTAACTCTAAAAGTCACTGCTGATGTGAACACTCCAGTAAGGTAACTATTAATGTAGACTCCAATTTTTCAGTAGCCTTAGGCAGAAACACCTGTGCCCATATAGGTCCAGCTCCCATTCTAATCTGATTTAGTCAAAACTTCCCTGTCTCATATATGTGAAATCTTCCAGAACCTGGAAGTCTCTGGACAGTTGTTTTCTCAAAGCCTGAGTCAAAGTTTATACACTAGAATAACAACATGCTCAAAGTAACTGAAATAAAACAAGTAAGAGAATAGAGTTGATTTAAAATATTTTAGATACCAATATTTCAGTTTTGAAATATAAAACCTCACTCATGGGCATTAAAAACTAAGAAGTAGAATACATTCTGAAAAACAAGAAGCTTCCTTCTTGGTATACTGCTTTTATGTTTCATGAGTTCCAACCTGGAATTCTTTTTTTAATAATGCACTACAGTCTAGATATCATTTCATATCTACCTGACTTTGAAACCCCTACTGAAATTAGAAAAAGCCATTTAAATGGCAATATCTCATGTGTGAGGAGTGGTTATACTTTGTACTAAATATAGTCTAATTAATTTAATTATTAAAAATAAGTATCAGATCTACTTAACTGCAACTTTTTAGACCAATTTGGATTAGATTGCCCCTAATTTAAATATACAGGCATAAAATGGAAATAAACTAATAACTTCCTAAATGCGTTTAACTTTTGTAATTGGCAACTTGCTTTTTCAACATGGACTATGACATCTTTCAGTAACGGAAGTCAACTCTGCAGTAGTCTGTGTGGGTTGTAAGACTCGTAAATTGCCTAATGTACGTATCCTTTATCAATGACTGGAGATTGTTCTGTATAATAAAGAGTTAAAACTTTGATTTCCCCCTGCCTTGTTCGCACAAAAAAACCAAGTGTCATAAAAACAGACATTCTAAATTTATGGCTGGAGCGGATTTATTTTGAGTAGTTATCAGATGACCACTTATAATTGTGTGTAATTTACCACAATTGCATTTTTTTTCAATTATGATTTTAGTAATTTTTTTATTATTACTTTTGGCATGCTGACTCCCATAACTACTGTAAAGTCTTTGTCCAAGTAGTATTTGAAGTAGTGAAAATATTAAAGACATGCATTTTGTTACTATGTTACTGAATTGATAATATTGTAAATTTTAATAAAAGTTGTGGCAAAAAGCCTGTACAGTCTCTGATGAAAACTGGCTACTGAAGCCACACCAAAATGAGTCAGTAGATTTTATTTTTTTTTTAAGTTTAGACACAAAACAATTTTGTTTATCTAAAGCATTTTGCTTCAGGTAAAACCACTGAAAATGCTTTGTTGTTGATGATATTAAGAGAAATGTAGCCTTTCTCATATTTGTTCTTTACACATATGGTAGCATGAATGAAAAAAAAATTTAGAATTTAGGGCTCTCCAGGGAATACAGCAGGCAGAACTGAGCAGCAGAACAGAGGACCTGTAACAAAACATGAAGTGATTCTGTGCAAGGATGGACATTAAAGCAGAAAATGGTCTTAACACTGTTAAAATTTTTTTTGTTTTTTTTTCTTTTAGCTCAATAAAAACTTCTCTTTTATAATTTTAAGTTATTTTCTGTAACTATTGTTGGCATTTTCTTCTCAAGAATGTAAATGCTTTTTCTTTTTTTCTTTCAGAAATATGTAAATACAAATCCAAAACACCACCTGTGAAGTACCTACAAACAAAATGACTGAGGTGGTAAAGTTATTAGTGCAGAGACTTCTGCGTGTTGTGCTGAGCCAATTCGCATCCAGTCCAGGATGGCTTATTAGGTTTGGGCCATACTGTGGAAGTTGACCCTACTGAACATAAGCTGGCTTTAGGAAGATTCTCTCTGCTCTTGTCCAGGGCTTACTGTGCAGCCACTGGAGTAATTCCACACAACCAGCCAGTCCAGTACGGCTTCCCTTGAGTCAGAACAAATAAGCCTGAGCTGAACTCTGGAGATGAATTCAGCTATAATCTTCCTTGTCCTGTATGCCCTTTTTAAGAGCCAGTGTAGATCTAGAGCTGTATCCAAGAACATAAGCCCTGTTTTGACTGCAGTGTTGGGTAGCAAGCAGTAATAGCTTGCTAATGCTGTTCTTGGGGCATGGTGTAAAGATACCAGAGTAGCTGTCACAGAGCTACGTAGATGTCTTCAGGATCAACTTCTCAATTGTGCTGAGTTGTAGAGTGAACTTTGTTAATCTTTTGTCAGAAAAAGAAACACATTTAATTTGCTCTAATAATAGGAGAAACAATTAAGCCATTTCATGGATTGAGATAGGTGAAAACAGAGATGCTGCTGCTGAAAGCATGAGCCATGTAACAGTTTCATCAAAGCTGGACCTTGTGGTCTTAGGCAGTTCTCTATGCACAAACTTGAGCTGAAGTTTCAGTGATGTGGAGGGATATAAAGCATCTCAGCTCCTGATTTTGTAGAAAGTACTGGCCTGGGGGAGGGTGGCTGATCTAGTATTTTTTAGCTTGTCCCATTGTAACGTGCTGAAAAGCTGTCATTAATGCCATTTTCTCTTGATCAGAATAGTGGGTGGTTTTGTTGGTTGTTTTTTTTTTACTACCACCATTGATGAGACCAGAGAAATTTTTATCACCCTATAAATGAGTAATAGTGAAGGCTGCCCATAATAAATACAACTACCAATTATTGGTACAAGATAGATGCTGTAGCACAAATGAAACTGTAGCCACAAGACTTAGGAATGTGATATAGTTTGGGGTAGGGTATATAAGGAGCAAGGGAGACTGACTGGAAGTGCAGATGTACTGGAGAAAGCGATGTGGTGCTGCTAGACAGGAGCATATTCCTTTATACTTAGTTAGGAATTATTTAAAAGCTGCTATAGGATACTCTGGGGAAGGGGCTGCAAGATACCATCAGTGGATGAAAAAGAAGTTTTGAACTTTGGGGACAACAGAGTGGATGTAGAGCCCCAGCCAGCTTCAAACAAAGCAGGTTTCTCCAGAATTAAATGTAAACTCTCTTGGGCAGAGTTCTTAGTAAACCTGCTTGATCTCAGTTCTTACTACACAGGGGCTGCTTTTTTCTTCTTTGCATATTGTTAATTTTCCTCTGGAAGGTTAGCTGAGCCAAACTACCCTGTAGATACACAATGGCTGGATTCAATCCAGGGAAAAGCAGGGGGCATGTAGAGGTGGGGCAAGAGCCTCAGGAGTATCCCTTTCATTAGCAGGAACCATTACCTGAAACATCACACCATTAACAACAGTTGTTCTTTGTTATCATCCCATCACTAGACATTATTGCTTCTTAGACAAGATGGCAGAATATAATATTTAAGTCCTCCTCGGTGAATTCAAGGCAAATCCTGGTGCAGGGTGTGGTTAGACAATATAGTTCGACTGGTTTAATCCTGTTGCCAAAAAGTTACTGCTGCCAGAAGAGGATTGTCTTGTTCCTCCCCTCTACTGGCAACACTCCCTTACCTCCACCTCCCATGCTGGCTCTCTTGTCAGTCTCCACGGTGAGCCAATGCAGCTTATTTTCTAGCTGAAACCTAACACACCAGAAACAGTTTCTTGGCGGTTTAGGAGGTCTGGCTGGTTTACCGTGTGTGTAGATGAGCACCAGAGTGGGCAGTGGGAAAGACTGGGGGCAGGGAAGATGGGGGAAACAGAGCTGCCTTGTGTGTCAGCAAGCCATCTGATTAGGTCGGCTCTGTTGCTCAACTGCACCCTTCAATGGCCATGGGAATTTGAAAAAAAAATATAAAAAAAAAAAATCAATTTTGCACTGACGCAGCTGAGAAGAACCCTCAGTTCTACTGTGAAAGTACTAACACTTGTCTGAAATGCAATATCTTCAGCCACTGCAGCTGTTTAGCTAGCTGAATACATTTTTAAATGGATTGCAATTCACAACATTTTCATGCTTACACATGCTCCTGCAATAACGCAAAAAGCACCATTCCTCTTTCAGATTCAGGCACACAGACACAAGACTGCCTGAGAACAGTGGTACAGATCCAAGAAAAAAAATTTCCTTCCCTCTCTTGTGGGATTTCAGTTGTTTTGAATCTGATCACAGGAGAAGACTTCCAAGTCAGCAAGATGCAAGGAAAAGTGAGAACTGCTTGGGAAAGTGGAAAAGCTACCAAGGTTTTTCTGCAGACTCTGGCATCGCAGAATGAGTGTGTCTGTATGACTAGACTTGCAATTTTAGCAATTAGGATTTTATTAAATCTGCTTTCTTTACAGAAGTATCAGTCAGTTGAATTACCATGCAGCCAGTAACTACTTTTAAAAGCAGTTGAAAATATTTTTCAGCACTTAGTCTTCTGTTAACAGAAAACAGTTTTAGTTTAGGGTTTTCTAGCAGTTTGGAAAGTTGTTAATTGTTCTTAATGAAAGGTTCTTGAATTTCATAAGCATTTAACAGGAAACCGGAGTCTTTTGTGTTTCTTCGCTACACGAAGCTAGCTCTTCGGATGCATTGTAACTGTGGTATGTCAGGTAAAACCACGAGGGGTTACGAGGATAGTTGGAGATACACAGTAATTCCTCTCCCTCTGTAGGAGTACGGAGGTAAATAATCTCCCCTTAGAGCAGGCGGCGTGCGTTAAATAGTAACTCTTGGTGATCACATACGCGTCAGCCGAGAACCAGGCAGGACCATACATCAGAAATTTGGAAGCGCGATGGGTTTCTTTTTAGTCACAGCCCAGAGGGCTGGAGTACCCCGCGGTGCCTGTTCCCGAGGCACGGCTTGAAGTGAGAAAGCCGGGAGAGCGCTGGGAAGCGGTCGGGAGCTGCGAGCAAAACAGCCCCGCTTCTGGGGCACGAAGCCGGCTGCGGAGGCAGGCGCGGGGACTTCCAGAAGCGGCAACTGCCTCCGGCGACCTGGGAAGCAGCGCTTCCAGCCAGCAGAACGCCGCCCCTGAGCCCTGCTTCCCCATTCCCCTTCCTAAGCCCCAGCAAACCTGCAAGTCACCAGGCGCCGGCCGGCTGCTGGCGCTGGCCGGCTGCTACCGCTGCCGGCGGCG